TAATAACTAGAAAAAAAAGTTTGATGACAAACTTTAAGTTGGCTTGAGAAAGCCGGACCAGAGCGTTTGAAGTTTTGAAGTTTGAATGAAGTTTTAAAGATAGATTAGAAAGAAAGAAAGAAAGATGGATAGATTAGTTAGAAAGAAAATAAGATAGATAGATAGATAGATAGATAGATAGATAGATAGATAGATAGATAGATAGATAGATAGATAGATGTTTTCGGCAAAATCTAACATGATTAGCATGTAGCTAGCTTGATGCTAATTTGATTAGCATGTAGTTAAGATGATTAGCATGTTGTTAGCATGATTAGCATGTAGCTAGCATCATAATAGCATGATTAGCATGTTGCTAGCATCATGCTAACGTGTTTTTTATCAAGAAGCTAGCATGACTAGCATGTAGCTAGCATCATGCTAACCTGATTAGCATGTTGCTAGCATCATGCTAGCATGTTTTAGCAAGAAGCTAGAATGATTAGCATGTAGCTAGCATCATGCTAGCATGATTAGCATGTTGCTAGCATCATGTTAGCATGTTTTTAGCAAGAAGCTAGCATGATTAGCATGTAGCTAGCATCATGCTACCATGATTAGCATGTAGCTAGCATCATAATAACATTATTAGCATGTTGTTAGCATCATGCTAACATGTTTTTAGCAAGAAGCTAACATCATTAGCATGTAGCTAGCATCAAGCTAGCATGATAAGCATGTTTTTAGCAAGAAGCTAGCATGACTAGCATGTAGCTAACATCATAATAGCATGATTAGCATGTTGCTAGCATCATGCTAGCATGTTTTTTAGCAAGAAGCTAGCATGATTAGCATGTAGCTAACATCATAATAGCATGATTAGCATGTTGCTAGCATTATGCTAGCATGTTTTAGCAAGAAGCTAACATGATTAGCATGTAGCTAGCATCAAGCTAGCATGATTAGCATGTTTTTAGCAAGAAGCTAGCATGACTAGCATGTAGCTAACATCATAATAGCATGATTAGCATGTTGCTAGCATCATGCTAACATGTTTTTAGGAAGAAGCTAGCATGATTAGCATGTAGCTAGCATCATGCTAGCATGATTAGCATGTTGCTAGCAAGAAGCTAGCATGATTAACATGTAGCTAGCATCATGCTAGCATGATTAGCATGTAGCTAGCATCATAATAACATGATTAGCATGTTGCTAGCATCATGCTAGCATGTTTTTAGCAAGAAGCTAGCAGGATTAGCATGTAGCTAGCATCATGCTAGCATGATTAGCATGTAGCTAGCATCATAATAACATGATTAGCATGTTGCTAGCATCATGCTAGCATGTTTTTAGCAAGAAGCTAGCATGATTAGCATGTAGCTAGCATCATGCTAGCATGATTAGCATGTAGCTAGCATCATGCTAGCATGTTTTTAGCAAGAAGCTAGCATGATTAGCATGTAGCTAGCACCATGCTAACATGATTAGCATGTAGCTAGCATCATGCTAGCATGTTTTTAACAAGAAGCTAACATGATTAGCAGAAAGCTAGCATGATTAGCATGTTATTAGCATCAAGAAAGAAAGAAAGAACGAAAGAGAAAGAAAGAATTTTTAGAAAGAAAGATGCATAGATTAGTTAGAAAGAAAGATGGATAGATTTGTTAGAAAGAAAGCTGGATAGATTAGTTAGAAAGAAACATGGATAGATTTGTTAGAAAGAAAGAAAGAAAGAAAGAAAGAAAGAAAGAAAGAAAGAAAGAAAGAAAGAAAGAAAGAGAAGAAAGTATTGTTAGAAAGAAAGATGGATAGATTACTTGGGTAGAAATAAAGAACGATAGATTTGTTAGAAAGAAAGATGGATAGATTAGTTAGAAAGAAAGATGTATAGATTTGTTAGAAAGAAAGATGGATAGAATTGTTAGAAAGAAAGATGGATAGATTAGTTAGGTAGAAAGAAAGAACGATAGATTTGTTAGAAAGAAAGAACGATAGATTATTTAGAAAGAAAGATGGATAGATTAGTTAGAAAGAAAGATGGATAGATTAGTAAGAAAGAAAGATGGATAGATTAGTTAGAAAGAAAGATGGATAGATTAGTTAGAAAAAAAGATGGATAGATTTGCTAGAAAGAAAGATGGATAGATTTGTTAGAAAGAAAGATGGATAGATTTGTTAGAAAGAAAGATGGATAGATTAGTTAGGTAGAAAGAAAGATGGATAGATTAGGTAGAAAGAAAGATGGATAGATTTGTTAGAAAGAAAGATGGATAGATTAGTTAGAAAGAAAAATGGATAGATTAGTTAGGTAGAAAGAAAGATGGATAGATTATGTAGAAAGAAAGATGGATAGATTTGTTAGAAAGAAAGATGGATAGATTAGGTAGAAAGAAAGATGGATAGATTTGTTAGAAAGAAAGATGGATAGATTAGTTAGAAAGAAAAATGGATAGATTAGTTAGGTAGAAAGAAAGATGGATAGATTAGGTAGAAAGAAAGATGGATAGATTTGTTAGAAAGAAAGATGGATAGATTAGTTAGAAAGAAAAATGGATAGATTAGTTAGGTAGAAAGAAAGATGGATAGATTAGGTAGAAAGAAAGATGGATAGATTTGTTAGAAAGAAAGATGGATAGATTAGGTAGAAAGAAAGATGGATAGATTAGGTAGAAAGAAAGATGGATAGATTAGGTAGAAAGAAAGATGGATAGATTAGGTAGAAAGAAAGATGGATAGATTTGTTAGAAAGAAAGATGGATAGATTAGTTAGAAAGAAAGATGGATAGATTTGTTAGAAAGAAAGATGGATAGATTTGTTAGAAAGAAAGATGGATAGATTTGTTAGAAAGAAAGATGGATAGATTAGTTAGGTAGAAAGAAAGATGGATAGATTAGGTAGAAAGAAAGATGGATAGATTTGTTAGAAAGAAAGATGGATAGATTAGTTAGGTAGAAAGAAAGATGGAGAGATTAGGTAGAAAGAAAGATGGATAGATTTGTTAGAAAGAAAGATGGATAGATTAGGTAGAAAGAAAGATGGATAGATTAGGTAGAAAGAAAGATGGATAGATTTGTTAGAAAGAAAGATGGATAGATTAGGTAGAAAGAAAGATGGATAGATTAGGTAGAAAGAAAGATGGATAGATTAGGTAGAAAGAAAGATGGATAGATTTGTTAGAAAGAAAGATGGATAGATTAGGTAGAAAGAAAGATGGATAGATTAGGTAGAAAGAAAGATGGATAGATTAGGTAGAAAGAAAGATGGATAGATTTGTTAGAAAGAAAGATGGATAGATTAGGTAGAAAGAAAGATGGATAGATTAGTTAGAAAGAAAGATGGATAGATTTGTTAGAAAGAAAGATGGATAGATTTGTTAGAAAGAAAGATGGATAGATTTGTTAGAAAGAAAGATGGATAGATAGATAGATAGATAGATAGATAGATAGATAGATAGATAGATAGATAGATAGATAGATAGATAGATAGATCATTAGTACATATAGAATGGTAGTTTAATTGAGTCTAGGGCTTCAGGGAATTTAGATTTGAGTTTTTGTTGTACGCTATTGGGCCACCGTAGTCTTGGCTCAATTTGACCATGCTGCAATGAAAGTCAATGGGATTTTTATGATTTTTAATATTAATTTTTAAGAAATCTGAAAGTCGAATCAGTCTAAAAAGATATAGCACACTAAGTCAGAACAGTCTGAAGGTCTGACCCGAGTTTGGAGTTTGTAGAGTCAAAGCTCTAGGAGGAGTTAGAGTCAGAAAATTTTGAGTAAGAAGAATAATAATAATAATAAGTTTAAATAGGATTTCAGTAAGTTGGCTTTCTCAAGCCAACTTAATAATAAGTTTAAATAGGATTTCAGTAAGTTGGCTTTCTCAAGCCAACTTAATTAGATGCGTTGTTTCCAGTCAAGACTTAGAGAAACTTGTGCATGCTTTCATCAGCAGCAGGGTGGATTACTGTAATGGCCTCCTCACTGGCCTTCCCAAAAAACACCATAAGACAGTTGCAGCTCATACAGAACCAGAACATATGAACACATCACACCAGTCCTCAGGTCTTTACACTGGCTGCCAGTCACATTTAGCATTGATTTTAAAGTATTATTACTGGTATATAAATCATTTAATGGGTTAGGACCTCAATATATTGCAGATATGCTCACTGAATATAAACCCAACAGATCACTCAGATCATTAGGATCACATCAGCTAGAAATACCAAGGGTTCACTCTAAGCATGGAGAGTCTGCTTTTAGCTATTATGCTGAACCAGCTTCCAGAAGAGATCAGGTGTGCTCCTACAGCATCACATTCACATCCAGACTCAAAACACTTCTGTTTAGCTGTGCATTTACTGAATGAGCACTGTGCCACTGCCACTTCATTTTATTCTAAATGGTTTTAATTTACTGTATTTTATTTTCATCATAATTTTTATTTTTCATTATTTCTTTTTTTTTATTCTAAACTGTTTTAATTATTCTGATTTCTTTTGATAATTTTCATTTCTTCTATGTAAAGCACTTTGAATTGCCATTGTGTATGAAATGTGCTTCATAAATAAACTTGCCTTGCCTTGCCTCGCCTACTAATATTAATATACTGAATAGTTCATGATTTTACGCTTTTACATTTCCAGGTTTCTCCGAGAAAAGATGTGACTCGTATTAGAAACTCTCAGGCTGCGGCACTAACCGTGTTTTGACCTCGGCAATAAATTAAAAGTTTAGTGTTATTAAATGTACTTTCAGTGAGAATGATAAATGATCCAGTTAATAACTGTGGAAACGCATCATCACAGTCTGTTTACGGTTGCCATGCACTCACGACTAAACAAGAGCTTGGCAACCGTAAAGTTATCTTTATGAACTCTATAAATTATTATCATTATGATAAATAGTGTAAATAAACAGATGAACCCGCGGCGACACACTGTCTGCGCACACCGTGATTCAGGCTGAAGGAGGATTATGTGAGTGTGACGTATTGTGTGTGTGTGTGTTGACAGGGACGCCGCACAGAGATACGGTGTGTGAGAGCTGCGCAGACGGGTGGTTTGCCAACATCACACAAGCGCATGCGGTGTGTGTCCCTCACAGCGTCTGCACTGCTGACCACCACGAGCTGCTGCCCGGAGCCGGCTGGCACGACAGTGTGTGTGCGAGCTGCCAACAGCTCTCTGAGAACGGTAGAGACGCCCTCACACTCCATCCATCACAGTGTTATAGTTCACTCGCCCTCAAGCCATCCTAGCTGTATATGACTTCTTCTTTCAGACAAATACAGAGTTATATTAATAAACAAATGGATAGATGCACTTTTATGATGGATGGATGCACTTTTATGATGGACAGATGCACTTTTATGATGGATGGATGCACTTGTATGATGGATGGATGCACTTTTATGATGGACAGATGCACTTTTATGATGATAGATGCACTTTTATGATGGATAGATGCACTTTTATGATGGACAGATGCACTTTTATGATGATAGATGCACTATTATGATGGATAGATGCACTTTTATGATGATAGATGCACTTTTATGATGGATAGATGCACTTTTATGATGATAGATGCACTTTTATGATGATAGATGCACTTTTATGATGATAGATGCACTTTTATGATGGATAGATGCACTTTTATGATGGACAGATGCACTTTTATGATGATAGATGCACTTTTATGATGATAGATGCACTTTTATGATGGATAGATGCACTTTTATGATGGATAGATGCACTTTTATGATGATAGATGCACTTTTATGATGGACAGATGCACTTTTATTTGTACAACTGTGTTTATTAATACAGCTCTGATTGTATGCGTCTGAAAGAATAATGTCATATACAGCTAGCATGACTTGAGGGAGAGTAAATCATGGGCTAATTTTTATTTTTAGGTGAACTATCCCTTTAAAGGCCATCCTTCCATTGATGCGCTGTTGTTTCTCCTCCTGTAGGTTGGGAAGAGTTGTTCCAGCCGGTTCTGAACGGTCTCCACATTCAGTACAGTACTCCCATCCGGCGCCTGCAGAACTTAGTGAACCGCCGTCTGCAGAGGAAACTGCGCAAAAAAGACACGCTCCGGACGGCTAGTCATTCCTCTGAGCTGCTGAACCTTCACCTGTTTCGCCAGGAGTCAGATCTATCTTATTTAGCCAACAGAATTTCCCACAGCGTCCGCAGTTTTTTACAGCAGCACTGCAGCAACACACGACAGCAGCGGCACTGAGACGAAGCCAACGCCTCTGCCGCTCTCGGCCTCATGTCTTTCACCTGCTTTCTGAAATATATGAGGGAGAATGTGTCTAAATCCACGGGTGTCAGACTGTACATGGGGGAAAAGACGTCTAAGGGACTGTGGTTTTTATTTAAGGGGCCACCGGAGGACTTTTGAGACCCTCCCTTCACCAAAAATATTTTTTTCTATGTCCTTCCAAAATGATTGTGAAAAAAGGCATGACTGGCCCTGATAGTTTTATCCTCAACTAGTTTTTTGGGTGTAGGTCTACCTTATATTAACAACAATAGTAATATAAAAACGGTAGCCCGACATCTAACACATCACACTCCACGGTTATGGTGGCGATTTCAGCAGATTTACTCGCTGACGCTGTTGTGGAAACACAATAAGAATGCAAACTGAATACGGTAGTATTGTACAGTGCAGATCATATCAGCTGCAGTTGCCTCAGCCCGATACTGTAAAACTCGATTTTTTTACTGTAAAAAAGGACACTTATTCACAATCACAAAAGTTCATTATTTGCTTTAAAGGAACACTCCGACTTTTTTTGTCTTTGGCTTATTCACCATATCCCCCAGAGTTATATAAGTCCATACATACCTTTTTCATCTCCGTGCGTGCTGTAACGCTGTTTGACGCACCCACCACTAGCCTAGCTTAGCACAAAGACTGGATGTAAATGGCTACAGCTAGCATACTAATCCCAATAAGTGACAAAAATGTACATGTTGTGATTTGTATAGGCACAGAGTGTACAAATAACAAGGTAATATGAGACACAAATATCCTTTAACCATATACATTTTGGGAACTATATTCTCATAAGATGAAGAACAGTGCGTCTCAGGTGCTGCGGTTATCACTCTGCTGCCCTCTGAGAATATAGTTCTCATGGTCAAAAGATATCTATGTCTCATATTACCTTGTTATTTGGACACTGTGACTACACAAATCACAACATGTAAATAGGAAAGATTTTGCATTATTTTGTCACTTATTAGGATTAGTATGCTAGCTGTAGCCATTTACATCCAGTCTTTGTGCTAAGCTAGGCTAGTTGTGTGTGCGTCAAACAGAGTTACAGCACACATGGAGATGAAAAAGGTATGTATGGAGTTATCTAACTCTGGGGGATACTGTGATTACGCTAAAGTCCAAAAAAGTCGGAGTGTTCCTTTAAAGCTTTGCTGGATAAACATTTCACTGTGTGAGACACTCACATACATTAGAGATTTGGTTTCAGCTGTTACACTAAAGGACTGAAGGATGTGTGATGTTTGTATTTGAGAAATTCAGAATGTGTCCGGTCAATAAATTTCACATGCAAGTTTTGGAAGGAGACTCCAGTGTTTTGTAAATATTAGATATGGTTTTTTTTTTCGTTTTTTCTTGGTTATACATTTAAACACTGATCTCTATTTATTATTTATTTTTTTGACTAAACTGTACAATGCAAAACAGCTCCATTAAAAACATTGAAAAGAGTTTCTTGTGCTTGTGAAATATATTAAATATTCGAGTGTTTTTTTCTTTGAAATCCTGCATTTGAACCTGAAATCAATCTATGTGAAAGCAGTGGGTTAGACTTTATTTCAGGTGTCATTGTTACAGTCAAGCGTAGCATCGCTAGTCAAGCAGTGACTCTCAGCTGATCCACCTATAGGAATACGACGCCATCACTGTATACATACTGTATATAAACTCCTTCAGTATTATGGACCGGCTCAAATAGCAGAATCTGAGTAATGTTTCCACAGCAAACATTTTAGGGTTTCTTCATATTCCCTATACTCCACTGCACTAACTCAGAGCGAGTCCCGCACTTTAATAATCTTCTCCCACTGTTTCCTTCTGAAACGATTCTTCAGTGTGTTGGACATATTAAAGTTACTCTGCCCTTTTACAGTCTCGCCATATTCACCACCTCCCAGTCGTGATAAAGCTAATTGCTCGCCTTAGGGCTAATTCTCCCAATATTTGACTAAATGGTCTTTTTTTTTCTTCAAAAAAAGCTGAAGACATCTTCTAAATGTCTATTTGACATCTGAAACGTCCTATTGCAGATGAACAAACACTCTAAAAAATAGGTCTTCCACATGTAAACACACACATATAGACGTCTGCGTGACGTACGTGTGCTATCAGGGAAGTTAGCCATTATGAATATGTAAAGTATGTGTATTTATACGAACACCACGATTTTGCCAAGTAAGACATCAACATTCCTGTCCCGAAATGTAGTCCTTACACCCAATCTCTACCCCTAAACCTAACCCTGCCCGTAACTCTTCCCTAAAATCATAAGGTGATGAAAGGTGAACACTGATGTTTAAGTGCTTCACTCTGGTTCTAAGCCTAAATTTGACATTTAAACGGTAAACTTGTCTCTCGAATCTGATTAATTGGAAAGTTTATCCAGGAACATGTGGTAGCTACCACTGGGTTAAACTCAGACGCTTAAAATGGCACTAGACAAGACAAAAAGTTGCCAACCCCTGGTATAGAGTATAAAAATAGTAGTATATGGTTTTAAAGGCTCGACGGCTCCAGGCAGACACACACAGGTTGGTGGTCAGTGTCATTAGTCTGACATTCAAATACTTCCTGTCTGCTCACATGCAAACCAGATTATTTATTCCTCTTTTGAGAGTAAGCTTCTCATTTGCATTGCATGTGGTTATGGAAACGCATGTCTTTATTGTTTGCGCCTGGTTTGTGGAAACTGACGTCACGTCATCATGTTTCAATCCGACGACGACACAGTAGACGAAACTAAAAAAGAAACATTAGAAGAGTTTCCTCTTCGTGGAAGAACAGAAACTGGAGCTTCTGCTTACTTACATCGGGAATCAAAGTGTTTTTCTGAATATCCTGGTTCATTTTAAAGGGGGAAATGTTGTCAAGGGATTTATCGGGGCCTTTCCATAACATGCTTTATGTTCATCATTAACTGTAATTAGGCAATAGTGTCCGTCCGCTCATTTGACTAGAAAATGTGTTCTGCGTCAACGGGCTATATCTGGATGTACTCAAATTTATCATGAGTTTGTGTGTGTGCTTCTTCGGTACCTGTGAATGAGGCTGTGTGTGTGTGTGTGTTTCTTTGCATACTGCTATTCCTGGAATTTATTTAATTGAATTGCTATTTGCAAAAACAAACACGCTAATATGTAGGCTACACCCCACTAACAGGAAAACTTCTCCCGGGGTTCTCCCAGTTGTTCTAACACTTTTTAGTTAACTTTACTTCAGAACTTAATCTAGTAATCTGTCCTATTCACATAGTGTGCCTTTTATTAAGAAACCCCAAGTTAATTGATTGATTTGAGGCTATTCTTATTAGCCTTTTCACTCATTTCCTCTTCCTCTACAGTTATCTGTCATGATCCCGGTATTCTTCTCTTACACTCTTCCGCCCTCTTCTGGTCACACTCTTTATTACATCCATTTACACACCCATACATTCCCATTCATTCCAGAGACTTTCTTCTATTGGATTTAATTGCCTTACGACTGTTATTGTTTAATTGCCTTACGTGTTATTTTACCTGAGCTGTTTGTAATCTATTAAATATTGTCAAACTGCCTTTGCTTTTGGGTCCTCTCTCCGAACACGTCACATTATCTTTCTTTAGTTGCATTTCCCAAAGTCATCCTGAAATGTTAATTGACAAAATAACTGATGAATTTGAGATAAGCTGACTTCACAAACTGATGTTGATTTTCCTAAAATGTTTTTGTTTGATCATTGATCATCATTATGGTGAACAGTGTTCCCTTTTAAACTTAATTATATAGTATTGTAATCATCTTCTTATTGAAGCAGTGACGCAACAAGACATCTTTTTGATTTCGACGAACAGGAAACTTTTACTTTTAATTACATCTTTAACTACTTTTCATGTCAGATAGTGATCATTTATTGTATTGCTAATGTTTATGTCATAAACACCTTGTGAAAATTTTAATTGTGTTGATATAATCCTTCTGTATTTGTAAAATAGCCTATGCGTCACACAGATTTCAACATTCAGCAAACAAAACACAGCCATGATAACCATGGTGTTGTGCTATACTGACACAAGATAGTAAGAAAATTGGCAAATAAAAAAACATTGTGAAACATAGCAATTGCACAATTTATTCATGCCCTAATGCACATCGTTAATAACTTAATGGGAACATTAGCAGTGTGTGTGTGTGTGTGTGTGTGTCAACAGTGTGTTCCAGTTTAGAGGTGATAAAGGTACCACAGAATCACACACACGTTTGGGCATGTGAGTATCAGAGGACATCTGGTCATGGATAGACAGATAAAGGATTAGTTTTCAATGTGGGTGAGTAATAAGCGTAAACTAAACACCACCATACAGATTAAAAATCAAAACAATCATAGATGCAACAAGATTACCTTCACGTATCAATGATTATGGCTGATTATGTGTTTAACCCATTAGCCATTATACCATTGATACATTTTTCTAGATAAATTCATTGTCTTTAAGGGTTAGTTGTTATTGGTAGCTGTTACAGCAAAAGGCACCACACTTAAGAACTGCTCAATACTTCAGGACAGAAGAAGAAGAAATGTTTAAGATTACGGATAACTGGAGTTGAGATGTAGCCTATGGTCGAATGTCTAGCCCCGCCCACCTCGTTACTTGATTGGTTCATTTGCCCCACCTGTCCTCCCCGTAACCTGCCTTGATTACAATCCCTATTTATTCTCCTTGTGTGTTACCGATTCGTCATCGAGTGTACACTGTGTGTTTCGCTGCTGTGTGCTTCAGTCTCTGTCTCGTTTCCCCCCTCGGGGTAGTTTTTATTTTCTGTTTTGTTTTTTATCATCATTAAAAGCCCAGGATGGTCTCTGCATCTGATCTGAGTCCTCACTCCTCCACCACACCTGCCATGACACGCTCCAGTCTTTCATCCGTCTCTCCTTTTATGAGAATAATGGATGTAACTGGACTCTGGCGGTCTTGTGTGAATATAAAGAAATGAGCTCCCGTAAGAACAATAGTGTGTGTGTGTGTGTGTGTGTGTGTGTGTGTGTGTGTGTGATTAGGTGTGTTTGTGGGAAATCATCACAATCATCTCTCAGTCCTCAGGTTTCAGTTCCACTAAAACACAATCGGCCTTTATATTACTGAAGCTGGACAGTGTAGCAAATAGAACAAACACACTGACCATGGGACTAGGCTAATATTTACTAAATTATATAGCCTATATATATATATATATATATATATGAATTTTGTGCATCGACAGCAGCATTCAGTGCAATATGATCATGAGTCTTTACATTTGCATATAACATTACTGTACATTAATGCATTTTAGTAGATTTATATTTTATATAAATGCAAGGCTACGAAAGTTCAAATAATCCAGTTGTTGTTGTTTTTTTATTCAATATGAATTTAAACATTTATTTACAAAATACAAAAGAGCCAGAGGTTCGGGACGGCCAAAATTACATCACATTTGAATTGAGAAAAATAATAATAGAAATAAAGTAGAAAGTATATAAATATATATATATATATAAACGAATAAAATGTGTAAATATTGAGTAAACAGGTCACATAAATATAACAATCTTCACCACAAAACATAATTAATAATATGTGTAATTTAATAATGGTGTATAATTGTTGAAAGTTTTCTGAAAGTAGTCTGTTTGTTACATGTGATGCAGTGGCGCCCCCTGTTGGACAGGAGAAACTTCACTGAAACACCACACACTCACAGAATGAGCTTTAACACACACACACACACACACACACACACGCACACACGCACACACACACATTACAGTTCTTTACAACACACTTTATATTCAGCGACATGAGTGAATCAAATAACGCATCTGACTCATACAGACAGACAGACAGACAGATATTCAGGTAAATGAGGGCGGGGTCTGTGTGTGTGTGTGTGTGTCTCGCGGGAGGGGTTTCTCTGCTCGGTGTTCCGGCTCACTCTCAGCTCTGTTACTGTAACTGTAAGTGTTAAAGGTTTAACTGAAGCTCATGAAGAACCAGTGAAGAAGATGAGCGGGGAAGAGTCTGGCGTTCCTCGGGATCTGCTGGGTAAACACTTCAGTCATATCTCACATTTGACTTACTCTGCGTCTGTGTGTGTGTGTGTGTGTGTGTGTGTGTAGGTGTGTTTGTGTGTGTGTGCGACTGCACTGCTTAAAATCGCGTTTGTGCTCAATGCTCATTTACTCTGGAAAACTATAAATAGACTTTAATAGCGCTTTATTATTGAGGTATGTTAGCTGTGGGAGGGGCCTGTTCAGACTCCGCCCACACCTGACGCTGGCGCGAGCGGCGTGTCGTGACGTGACCAACGCACAAGAGCCCGTTATAATAATCAAATCAGTCAACAACACTGACTGATGGATCGACAAAATCACGATTTAGCTAATCTTAACGATGACACAAAAAGTGTCAAAAGTGTGAAATGATGACTGTAATTCTGACTTTTAATGCCATAATTTTGACTTCTTGTGTTATAATTTTGTCATCATTTTTACTTTATTTCATAATGATTGCTTTTTATTTCACAGTTATGACATGAAAGTGATTTTTGTCCTGTTTGTGGTGACAGGTTTCATTTAGAGATCATCTTCATATTGATGTTTCTCCTAATATCCTCAATAAATCTAGACACCATGAGCCACTAGATTCAGATATAGAGCTATAAGGAGCGGTCGGTCTGATGAGAAATATGATGTTCTGGGACACGTTTATGATCAAGCACTTCCTGTCTTGAGCCTCTCAAACCTCTCAAAACCTGTGTGTGTGTGTGTAGAGAGCGTTCAGGAGGCCATCGGGCAGCAGGTCAAGCTGTGTTTGGTTCAGAAGGTCAACCTGGAGGTCAAAGGTGACAAACTGGACAGCAGAATCCTGGTGAGTGAGACGTGTCTCCTGTCCTGACACTGAGTGTGATATTAATGTCCTAAAAACTTCATAAAACCGCGAACTAAAGCAGCCATACAAAGACAATCACAACATCACAAACTAAAAGTATGTGAAAGTCAGAAGGAAAATACTAATCTACGAGAGGGAAAGAACTACAATCCTACAAAGCATTGCAAACAACCTGAAAACAATGAAGAAACATAAACCACTGAAGTTTACTGAAAAATATTCAAATATATTCAATTATTTCAGTGATTTGAGAGTGTGGGGTGACGGATTCAATCTTTTGCCAAGTTTTGCTTGTTTCGACTCTCTGATTGGTGGACTTTTCTGTAAGGCATTATGGGTAATGTAGTTTCTCACCAGGAAAACAATTATTTGAAGGAAAGGTTGAAATAATACTGACGGCCTTCAACAGAAGCAAACATCATCAGTTCACCTCCTCACTGCTCACTGTGGTTATCGTTAGAAGACTTTTCTTTACTTCTGGAACGGACTCTCTATTGGTCCCGATCTCACAAATAAGAAAAGAGAGAGAACAAGTTGAAGAAAAGTGTTTGTGTGAAGCTAGTGTTAGTGTTAGTGTTAGTGTTAGTGTTAGTGTTAGAGAAGCTCCTCTCTGTAAAACACACATTCTTACCCTCATTCTCCTGCCCTGACACGACAGAGATCTGATCCTCTGGGCATGAACACACACACACACTCACACACACACTTACATACATACACACTCTCCTTCTCTCTCTCTCTCTCTCTCTCTCTCTCTCTCTCTCTCTCTCTCTCTCTCTCTCTCAAACACACACATACACACACACACACACACACACACACTTTACATTCCAGGAGCCTCCACAGGATTTTGCAATAGCCTCAGTGTTGTTATTCATGTTTGCCAGTGATAACACGCGTCTCAGTGAAGCAGATGTGTGTGTGTGTGTGTGTGTGTGTGTGTGTGTGTTATTTCATCTGATGGAGTTCACGGCAGGTTTCCAGTCATTATTCTCACTTCTGCTCTCTAAATGAATGTGTGTGTGTGTGTGTGTGTGTGTGATCGGTCAGGATGTCTCCTCTGTTCAGTGTTTATTTAAATCTTGAAGATTTAGATCTCTATCCGACTGACAATATCAATATATCAAAGATAAAACATTATAATACTAAACTGGATTAAAATTCAGAGTAACTGTGTCTTAGATTAGAAATAGATGATACTTGCTGAATTGAATATGCAGTTTAATAAGGTTTGCAATGTTTATAATTGCAGAATGACTTATGTTTTACGTACATTATATTTAATGAATAGTACGCATTAAACTGTATAATCAATATTGAACACATGATTATAACTTAATTGATTGTGTTTGATTTATTTCATTGGAGTCACTGATGCTCTTCTTCTCTGGTTCCCCACAGGCTCTCGCTCCTCATCGAGTGTTTCTGCTCAGCGCACGAGTGCCTGCTAAAGTGAGTGAGTGAGTGTGTGTGTGTGTGTGTGTGTGTGTGTTGAAGTGCTCTGACTCTGTGTGTGTTTCATGTCTTCAGGTCGATCAGTCCTTCAGTGTGTTCGACATTCAGAGCATCAACAGTGTCAAACAGAAGCAGGTGAACATCAGCTAGCACACTCTCCTTTCTTGCCAAATGCTTAAACACACAATGATTATATATATATATATATATATATATATTAGGGCTGTGCAAAAGTTAATTGCGATTAATCGCATCCAAAATAAAAGTCTGTGTTTACATAATATATTTGTGTGTGCTGTATATAATTATTTTGTATATAAAAATACACACACATGCATGTATATATTTAAGAATTATTTGCGCTTAAATTCTGTATATATTTATAAATACATAATCTATATTATATAAATATAAATATTTTATATATTAATAACATATTTTCTTAAATATATACATGCATGTGTGTGTATTTATAAATACAAAATAATTATATACAGCACACACAAATATATTATGTAAACACAGACTTTTATTTTGGATGCGATTAATCGCAATTAATTTTTGCACAGCCCTAATATATATATATATATTTAAAGAAATATGATAAACAGATATAGGTATAATGCACATGTAAGTGTGTATTGGGTATTGCACATGGTTTTATTAACTGATCATTTCACATTCAAAGTAGAGATACACTGATAGTTTGATTCAGACAGACAATTATGTTTCATGCTGTACATAATGATAATTAATTTGATATGATTTAAATACTAAAAATAATACTTTTTACATTATCAAATAAATGATAATGTAATGATGTTTAATTCATGAATTTGATTACCACGGTTTAACTGGGTTTAACAGTGATGTAATGCTGTGATGGATGTACATGATCACCCCCTGCTGGTCATATTGTGCCGTAACAGTGTGTGTGTGTGTGTGTGTGTGTAGCTGCTGGTGGACTATGACAGAGGACAGCTGTCTCTGAGACTGGCGTCTGATCGAGACACTGATGATTTTATTGCACAAATAGGAACAAACATTCAGGAGATTTGTCCAGGACTCGACCCGCTGTAAGACTGTCACACACACACACATACACACTATAACTCCATACACACGTGTGTGTGTGTGTGTGTCTTTATTTCATGTGTTTGTTTGTGTGTTTCAGGAGGGTGATAAAGAAACTTGTGTTAAAGCCGGTGGAGAGAATCACCAGTTTACAGACACTGTGGGAAAACCCCATCCCAGCAGAAGCCGGACCCTGCGGTACAGAATCTCTCTCACACACACACACACACACACACACACACACACACTGCTCTCGTCTGTGTTAACCCGTCTCTGTATCTGTGTGTGTGGTGCTGCAGGCGGTTTCTCGCGTCTCTACTGGTGTGTGTGTGATCAGATGGGCGTCCCCTACAGAGACGAGGTTCAGTGGGTCAGTACAGCTCAACTCTGTACGTCTCGTGTGTGTCTCAGTGTCCGTCTCGTGTGTGTCTCAGTGTCCTTCTCGTCACGTCTCGTGTGTGTCTCAGTGTCCGTCTCGTCACGTCTCGTGTGTGTCTCAGTGTCCGTCTCGTCACGTCTCGTGTGTGTCTCAGTGTCCGTCTCGTCACGTCTCGTGTGTGTCTCAGTGTCCGTCTCGTCACGTCTCGTGTGTGTCTCAGTGTCCGTCTCGGGTGTGTCTCAGTGTCCATCTCGTCACGTCTCATGTGTGTCTCAGTGTCCGTCTCATCTCGTCTCATGTGTGTCTCAGTGTCCGTCTCGTCACGTCTCGTGTGTGTCTCAGTGTCCGTCTTGTCACGTCTCGTGTGTGTCTCAGTGTCCGTCTCGTCACGTCTCGTGTGTGTCTCAGTGTCCGTCTCATCTCGTCTCGTGTGTGTCTCAGTGTCCGTCTCGTCACGTCTCGTGTGTGTCTCAGTGTCCGTCTCACAGCTCTGTGTTTGTTTCTGAAGGACGTGGACACCATCTATCTGTCTCAGGACACACGGGAGCTCTGCCTGCAGGACTTCATCCACCTGGACAACAGGTAACACACACCTGTCGTACGCTACGGATTATGGAATCCAGGCACAAAAAATACTGTGTACACTTACTCAAAGAATGATGTGGACGCCTCCAGCATGAGTGAAAACGCAATATTACTGTTGCGTCACTACTGGTGTGATAGAGGTTTCTGACCATATTCACTGTGTGTAGATGCATGCGTCATGTCCTGTAGCGGTGTAAAGTGCAAGTGTGGTGTGTGTTGAGCGTGATTTGTGTTAAAGTGGTGTGTGTTGGGTGTGGTTTGTGTTAAAGTGGTGTGTGTTGAGTGTGATTTGTGTTAAAGTGGTGTGTGTTGAGCGTGATTTGTGTTAAAGTGGTGTGTGTTGAGTGTAGTTTGTGTTAAAGTGGTGTGTGTTGAGTGTGATTTGTGTTAAAGTGGTGTGTGTTGAGTGTAGTTTGTGTTAAAGTGGTGTGTGTTGAGTGTGATTTGTGTTAAAGTGGTGTGTGTTGAGTGTAGTTTGTGTTAAAGTGGTGTGTGTTGAGCGTGATTTGTGTTAAAGTGGTGTGTGTTGAGTGTGATTTGTGTTAAAGTGGTGTGTGTTGAGTGTGATTTGTGTTAAAGTGGTGTGTGTTGAGTGTGATTTGTGTTAAAGTGGTGTGTGTTGAGTGTAGTTTGTGTTAAAGTGGTGTGTGTTGAGTGTGATTTGTGTTAAAGTGGTGTGTGTTGAGTGTAGTTTGTGTTAAAGTGGTGTGTGTTGAGTGTGATTTGTGTTAAAGTGGTGTGTGTTGAGTGTGATTTGTGTTAAAGTGGTGTGTGTTGAGTGTGGTTTGTGTTGTTGTGTTCAGGGATCTGCTGGCCATCACCGCTGCTCTGGAGTTCAATCAGTGGTTCATCAAACTCTCCATAAAGGACTTTAAACTGGTGACTGTGTGTCTGTCGGATTATATCGTTCTGCTTGAGGATGATGTGCTCTTACACTCATCATGTGTGTGTGTGTGTGTGTGTGTGTGTGTGTGTAGACAGCAGATCTGTGTGATCAGATATTCAGAGTTGTGTCTCGATCTACCAGACTGGAGGAACTCACTCTGGACAACACCGGACTCAAGAGGTTCACATACACTCACACACACACACATACAGTATATTTATATATATATATAATTTTAATCAGAATAGTCTTACACTATGTTTTACGGTGTTACACTGTGTGTTTCAGTGATTTTGCTCAGAGGTTTGCTGCTGCGTTGAGTCACAATCCAAACTCAGCGTTAAAGGCAGTCAGTCTGCCCAACAACTGTATTGAAGACAAAGGTACAAAACTCTCACACACTCACACACTCACACACACACACACACACACACACACACACACACACACTAGGGCTGAGCGGTTTGGGGTAAAAATTGAATTGCGATTACAACCGCTCTCCGTTAGGCTAATGTTCTGGAGAGGTTCTCAAAGGTTCTGTTCTGTGTGTGTGTGTGTGTGTGTGTGTGTGTGTGTGTGTGATTGACAGGTGTCATGTTTCTGAGCCCTGCCCTGTCTAAACTCACACCTGGACTGAAACACCTGGACCTGTCCAAGAACTCACTGTCATCTAAAGGTACACACACACACACACACACACGCACGCACTTATAAATGTGGGCGGGGCTTGATTGTGTCCGTAGGGAATTCATTGGATGTTTGGATGGCTGTGGTTTGCTATTGGCTGATCTCCTGTGAGTGACAGGTTATAGCCCCGCCCTCGTCATCAGAGAAGAGAAGAGATGCTGAAGAGGAACTGATTCTGATTTAAGATTATTAAAACATTAATAATGTGCACATATAAATCCTTTAGAATAATCTAAATGTGTGTGTGTGTGTGTGTGTGTGTTTTCAGGTGTGAATATTCTGGCTCAGTGTTTCTGCTCCACATCACTCACACACCTGAATCTGTCTGGAAACACACTAAGAGGGGAGGACATGCCTGTACGCACACACACACACACACACACACATTATTTTATATAATGTGAATTAGTTTGTCGGTTGTGTTGATCTGTGTGTTGTTGTGTGTTTGTAGCATCTGTGGAGTTTCCTGTCTCAACCCAACCGTCTGCACACACTCGACCTGTCGAACAGCGAATCTTCCCTCGACCTGGTCAGACACACACAACTACACAATCACACACCACAACACAATCACATTAAAAAAATCTAAAAGAATAATAATAATAATAATAATAATTTGATAAAAATAAATACTATTTTATTAAAATAAATGAAACACATCTAACAGCATTACGAGGAATAGAATAGAATGCAATGATGTAACATAATAGAAACTAAACATTTTACAAATAATTCTGTAGAAATATTGAAAATATTAATATAACTGTATTAATTTGGTCTTTATAATAATATATAGGTTATAAATTTGAGGATGATGATATTTGTTGTTCTTCAGGTGTGTTCGTCACTGCAGCGTGGCTCTCTCAAACACCTGACAGTTCTCAACATGTCCAGAAGTGTCTTCAGTCTCAAGTACGACAAACACACACACACACACACACACACTTACTCTAACCTGACCCCTAAACCTGCCCATCACACACACACACACACACACACACACAGGTGTCAGGTGTTTCAGTCTGATGGTTTGTGCTGCAGGAGAGGGAAGGAGTTTCCGTCCTCCTTCAAGCAGTTCTTCAGCAGCGCTTCGTCCCTCCAGAACATCTGCCTCTCTGGAACCAAACTCCCTTCTGAAGGACTCAAGTGAGTCTCAGTCCAGCAGCCCATCCAGACCCCTGATCATGTTCTGCTGATGTTCTCCTGATGTTCTGCTGATGTTCTTCTGATGTTCTGCTGATGTTCCTCCTGATTTCCTCCTGATGTTCTCCTGATTTTCTTCTGATGTTCTTCTGATGTTCTCCTGATGTTCTCCTGATTTCCTCCTGATGTTCTGCTGATGTTCCTCTGACGTTCTGCTGGTGTTCTCCTGATGTTCTCCTGATTTTCTTCTGATGTTCTTCTGATGTTCTCCTGATGTTCTCCTGATTTCCTCCTGATGTTCTGCTGATGTTCTTCTGATGTTCTTCTGATGTTCTGCTGATGTTCTTCTGACGTTCTGCTGGTGTTCTCCTGATGTTCTGCTGATCTCCTCCTGATTTCCTCCTGATGTTCTACTGATGTTCTCCTGATGTTCTCTGCATGTTCTTCTGATATTCTGCTGATCTTCTTCTGATGTTCTCCTGATGTTCTCCTGGTGTTCTTCTGACGTTCTGCTGGTGTTCTCCTGATGTTCTCCTGATTTCCTCCTGATGTTCTGCTGATCTCCTCCTGATGTTCTTCTGATGTTCTGCTGATGTTCTTCTGACGTTCTGCTGGTGTTCTCCTGATGTTCTGCTGATCTCCTCCTGATTTCCTCCTGATGTTCTACTGATGTTCTCCTGATGTTCTCTGCATGTTCTTCTGATATTCTGCTGATGTTCTCCTGATGTTCTCCTGGTGTTCTTCTGATGTTCTCCTGGTGTTCTTCTCATGTTCTCCTGATTTCCTCCTGATGTTATTCTGATGTTCTCCTGGTGTTCTGCTGATGTTCTCTGCATGTTCTGCTGATATTCTGCTGATGTTCTTCTGATGTTCTCCTGGTGTTCTTCTGAAGTTCTCCTGGTGTTCTTCTGATGTTCTCCTGATTTCCTCCTGATGTTCTTCTGATGTTCTCCTGACGTTCTGTTGATGTTCTGATGTGTTCAGAGCTCTGCTGCTTGGTCTGGCCTGTAACCCTAACCTGAGAGATGTAGCTCTGGACATCAGTGGCTGTGAGGTACTGTCTCACACCAGATCTTCTCAAGGACCGCAACTTTTGAGAAAAAACTGTGAATTAATAAAATAAATAGATTATTTAGTAATATTAATTATTACTATGACAACATTTGTTATAATATCTAGTTTTGACACACACAGGTCGGTTGACACACACTCACCTGTTGTTGTTGTTGTGTTTAGTTGCGGTCAGCGGGCGCTCAGATTCTGGAGGGCTGCATCGCTGAGATCCCAAACATCACCAGCCTGGACGTGTCTGACAACGGTTAATACACACACAAACACACACACAATCACATGCACACAATCATACACACACTGCCGTCTGCTGCTGTGTTGATTCAGTACTCAGGTGTGTGTGTGTGTGTGTGGTAGGGCTGGACTCAGATATGTCTACGCTGCTCGAGTGGCTCGGGAAGAACCGCTCCATCAAACACTTGTCCATCGGCAGGAACTTCAGCAACATCAAAACCAAGTCAGACTCGGATTCAGTTCTGAGCTCATGTGATGCTCACAAATAATGAGGGAATAACTGCAATCCAGTTCAGTGACAGTGTGTCTGTGTGTGTGTGTGTGTGTTTCAGGAATCTCGGGCAGGTTCTGGTCTCCGTGGTCCAAATGATTCAGGAAGAGGATTCAGTGAGTCTGTAGATCCGTCCCGTTTGGACCCTGCCTCGTTTCCCTATCACAGATTTGAATAATCATCACAAGTTAGGCATTATTTGAAGTTGCAAAACACTCCAAATTTATCCTGTGAATTTTTTTGAAAGTTTTGAAATCAAACATTGCATTAGGGCTCATTTTAGGCTCCTCCCCCTAGTGGGCGGAGTCATGTTTCAAATTTGACAACAACATTTCCTGCATCAAATCTTGACATCATGCATATCATTGGAAAGCTCTGAGTCTCAGCGGTTCATATTCAGCTGCTGTTGTGTGATAGAAGTTAGTGATGTTCATTTCTCACTGGAGAAAGCATAATTTTACCTGGGTGTCAGACTCTCTCTGTGTGTGTGTGTGTGTAGCCACTGGCGTCTCTGTCTCTGGCCGACTCACGTCTGAAGGCCGATCTGTCGCTGGTTCTGAACGCTCTGGGCGGGAACACCAGTCTGACACACCTGGACATCAGCGGGAACAACATGGGAGACTTCGGGGCCAAGATGCTGGCCAAAGCTCTGCAGGTCAACACCAAACTCAGGTGACACACACACACACACACCAAACTCAGGTGACACACAAACTCACCAAACTCTGGTGCGAAACACACACACTCATTCACGTTAATTTCACCACTCTCTGAAACGCTTGATTCTGATTGGTCAGTCACCTGCCGAGGTCAGTTATTGGCTGATGATAACCGTTGTCGGCTGCTTTTCAGCTTTTCTCTACGGAAGCTTTGTGTTTAATGATCTAATAAAAGCTTGACCTGTGTGTGTGTGTGTGTGTGTGTGTGTTTCAGGACGTTGATCTGGGACCGAAACTCTGTCAGCGCTCAGGGACTACAGGACATGGCTTCTGCTCTGGAAAAGTGTGTCAGCATTACTCCCTGTGTGTGTGTGTGTGTGTTTGAGAGAGAGAAATAGAGAGAGTGTGTGCACACAACACTAATAAATACACACACACACTCTCTTTGGTCTGCAGGAATTACACCATCAGGTTCATGCCGGTTCCCATCACAGACGCGGCTCAAGCTCTGAAGAACAGTCCGGAGAAAACTGAAGACGCCCTTCTGAAGGTCAGGAACAGACACACACACACACACACACACACACACACACACACACACACTCTCTAACCTGTTATTATAGTTAACTTAAACACATACACACAAACATGGCCCACACAGCCACAACAGAAGACTCTTTTAATTCTGTCATGCTGAATGCTCTGTGTGTGTGTGTGTGTGTGTGTGTGTGTGTGTGTGTGTGTGTGTGTGTGTGTGTGTGTGTGTGTGTGTGTGTGTGTGTGTGCAGATGGAGCAGTATCTGCTGCGTAACCACGAGAGCAGGCGATATCTGCAGGATCAGGCGTTCCGGCTGCAGCAGGGCCTCGTCACCAGCACAACACGACAGGTGCGCAACACACACACACACACACACTCTACCTCAGCGGTGAAGCGGCGACTCAACTGCAGCACATGACCAAATACAAACGAAACATGACTTGACAAAACCACTGGAGGAACACACAAGGGGAAACATTCGACGACGGACCAGCACAGGACTGCAAACACAAGGAGAATCAAAGCAGAGAACGAGGGAGGACAGGTGGGCCAAACGAACCAATCAGGAAACAAGATGGGCGGGGCTAGACAATCGACAGGAGAGCACATGGCACAAGGAAACACAAGACAAGCCATGTGACTAGAACACACAGCTAATGAGAACACAAAACATGACAACATGAAAGCTCAGAGCTGCACACACACACACACACACACACACAACACAAAACATGACACTAATACACACGCCGACGTGAACCTGAACCGTGTGCTACAGAACCCTGACACGACACGGAAAACCATTATAACAGATGTCTGATCTGTCTGTCAGTAGTGTGTGTTTGAGCAATATCTCATCCATCTGTGTGTGTGTGTGTGTGTGTGTGTGTGTGTAGATGATGGCGCAGGTGTGTGTGCAGGTCCAGGATCATTTGAACTCTCTTCGCTTTAGTAAGAGTGACAGAGTTCAGCAGGACATGAAGACGGCCGAGAGCCTGATGACGGACGCCAAGAACTCCACAACAGTGAGGCACACACACACACATGTTGATGTTGAATGTTGATTATTCTCCTCATATTCTCCATTGTTGCGGCTCCTCTCTTCCCAGTCTGTCAGTAACGCTCTGTTAACTTCCTGTCTCTATGAAGCCCCTCCTCCTGAAAAGCACACTGTGCTCTGATTGGTCGGCTGGAGCAGTGTGTTGTGATTGGTCGAGAACTTCGAGTGTGATTGAGAAATGTCCCGCCCATTTCCATAACCGCCAGTTTAACACACTACCGACTAACTCCAGGCCCCGCCCCTTTATTCTGCGCATTAATTATTATAATGAGGAATATTGTGACGTGTTTTTTCCTGACCTCGGTTCCTTGAAGGAGGGAACGGAGACGTCATGTGGGGTCAGTAGACCGACGAATTTGGATCTCGCTCCAATCTGTATTGTAAAAAGCGCTGTATAAGTAAAGGTAGAGTCAGCCTCGGACGCGCTCGGACCGTTGGATGCACAGGGCACACTTCAGGAGCTGCAGACTCGCGATCTGATTGGTTGAATTCTACAGGATGTAGATCCCCTAAACACTGACACTGAGATGAACTGGAGCTTTACAGCAACACTAAAGACAAAACACAACTCTGTAAAGCAGCATTCTGTGTGTGTGTGTGTGTGTGTGTAGCTTCTGCGCAGTCTGTATGACCAGCGCTCATCGGTGGGCATCAGTGACGGGTCAGCGGGAGTGTGTGTCCAGCAGGTGCAGGAGAAGCTGTGTTCAGTGGCTGGAGAGATCAGCATACTCCTAGACCAGCAGCTGCAGGTACACACACACACACACACACATTTAACATCATCAGAAGGCTGAGAAACTCTCTGAGATGTGTGTGTGTGTGTGTTCAGGGTTTGCTGGTGTCGATGTTGGACACGGCTCAGAGTGTGTGTCCTCACGTCATGCAGCAGGCGTGTTTGCGTGAGAATCTGCTCCACGCCAGTGAAGGGAGGACGAGTGTGTCGAAGGCCTTCATCACCTCCACCCTGCTGGAGCACTCGGCCTTCGACATCATCAACAAGATCAGGTGCGCTCACACACATCATCTCTGCTGACGAGGTGTGTGTCACTCATTAACAGTCACATGTTAGCAGATTGTGTGTGTGTGTGTGTTTTCAGTGAGGTGAAGCTCAGTATGGCGTCGTGTCTCTCTGAATACATCACTGATGAGATCTTGCGGTCACTTTCTCGCTCTCAACACACACTGGTGAGATTTACACACAGAAAACTACACATTATCACAGTGTGTGTGCCTCATTCATGTGTGTGTGTGTGTGTGTGTGTGTGTCAGGCGGGTCATCTGAGCAGGAGAGGTCAGCAGCTGCTGCATCAGGACTCACAGGAGACAGAAGTTCTAGACGAGAAGGAAATACAGACAAACAACCTGGTACCAGCAGAACCAGAACCAGAACCACAGGTACACACACACACACACACACACTAACCCGACCCCTAAACCTACCCATCACACATAAATCTTCATGCATTTTTACATTAAAAAAACATTTTATAACATCCATTAATCAATTTCCCTTGTAAGGACTAGGAAGTAGAGAATCTCAAGTTTTACTATCCTTGTGGAAACACACACACACACACACACACACTCACACTGTGCTGCTCTTTTCTCTTCTGTGAAATGATACTGTGATCATGAGCTCCTAAAAGAACAATCACACCATGTTGACGCTGTGTGCTTGCCTACACACATGAGTGTGACTGTAATGAGGTGTGTGTGTGTGTGTGTGTGTTCGATCTCCAGCGGACACATAAAGCCAAGAGGAAGAGCATTCACAGCAGGATGTTCAGACCCATGTCCTCCGCCTTCGGTACACGTCGTCACCAACACCAATCAGATTCCATTGCTCTCGTTAGTGTTTGTTAATTACTGCTGGTTAATTGTGTGTGTGTGTGTGTGTGTGTCAGAGCTGGACTTTGATCTGTGCAAGGCATTAGAGGACGTGTCTCTCTGTGTGGACGATCTGCCGCCGCCCCCGACTCCGCCCCCTCCACAGCCAGAGTCCCCGCCCCCAGTGGAGGTGGAGCTACCACAGCCTCAGCCTATGAGCTTCAGCAACCTGCCCACCGGAGACACGCCCCCTCTCCAGCACGCCACCAAGTTCAGGCCGCGGCGGACCAAGAAGGCCAAACCCAGCAGAGCCGCCGTAAGACGCCAGAACACACTTGGAGAGTCGCAGCGCGTGAGTGTACAGTTTATATTAAGCTTTATGTACTTGTGTGATTTACTTATTGTGTTCAGGTTGAATTGTAAAACCCATTGCTGCTATTGAGGTGTGACACGGGTAAGGTTAGGGTCACGTGTGGTGGTATGGGTCGGTTTAAAGGTGGGAGAAGGGTCAACAGTGTAATTACAAATGTAATTACATAAATTAATTACAGATGTAATGACATGCAGGAATTTTTAAAATATGAGTACAATGTAAAAACATGGATGTACACAATAAGTCAATTGTATCAAATAATGAATTTCAATGGAAAGTAAAAGTGGGACCGTTTTTTTACAGAGCCAAGGACAAAATAAATGAACTGGACTCATTATAATTATTTTCATGTCCATTGAATATGTAATATCCAGTAATAATATTAATTTGACACTGACACTGTCAGATGAGAACAACAACGGATCTGAATAATGACTCTTCCATCTTCTGTAGAGCTGCTTCACTCCTGAGTCTATTTGTCTCATATTTGATGAGGTTTGCATCATTGATTCTGTACAACTGTGAAGTTGCACACAGTTTGAAATGATCTTTACTGATTAAGTGCTGTAGAAATTGACTGACTTGACTAGATAGGAATGAAATATTTGAGTTTAGAGGTGAAAGGTCACGGTCAGGGTGAATCATCCTCATAGACAGACCGGCTCATTAAACGCCTCTGATTGGATGTTTTCTCAGTGTCAGCCAATCAGCACCGCCCCTGTGCAGGAAGTGGATCAGAGCAGCTCTGTGGATGAAGGCGTGCCGGAGTTCTACTCCAGAAAGGTCACCAACATCGTAGCCAAGTAAGATGTGAGATGTGAAGAGGAGTGTGTATGGTGGACTCACGCTCGTTCTGTCTGCCCAGCAAGCAAGTTTGTGTTTAAAATACATCTAATAGCCGTCCAGACACAGCCCAGACGTCTAGGCTAAAACAAGGCAAAGATTGGGCTGCCCAAGAATAGACTAGTCATCAATTAGATAACAAAGAGTGAAGAAATGAATGCTGTGTTACTCATAGCCGGCCTATATCGGAAGCAATATCCATCATTTTACCTAATTTTCTTGGTTAACTCTAGACCTGATATAGTCTGGGTTTGTTATTTAACAAATTGAATGTGTTATCTAATTGATGACTAGTCTATTCTTGGGCAGCCCAATCTTTGCCTTGTTTTAGCCTAGATGTCTGAGCTGTGTTTGGACGGCTATTAGACGTCTTTTAAACACAAAATTGCTTCCTGGGTAGTTAACCTAGACGGTGAAGTGACGGCTTTTTGTTGCTGGTTGCAGAGCGCCTGCCGCGGACACAGAGAAGAGCAGAGACTCGCGACTGAGCGGCTTCTTCAGCCTCATCAAGCATCGCTCCTCCACCAAAGCCACACCCACCAGCCCCACCCCTGGTGCCATGGCAACCACCGAAACGATCACAACGGTCTCCGTGACAACTGCGGAAAAAGATGCCCCGCCCCTAGAGCCGGTCGTGATCCCGGAGCCTGTTGCGCATGAGGTCAAAGGTCACATGCAGGAAGGTGTCAAGCGGGGCAGTCCGCTGATGGGGCGTCACATGGCCGTGCAGGTGCTCGGCAACGACCTGCTGCTGGCGGAGATACGAGCCAAACAAGAGAAGCGCAAGAAGGTGAGATTCACACGCTGGCACTGTAGGGGTCAAAATTAGCGATTTTTCTTTAATGCCAAAAATCATTAGGATATTATGTAAAGATCATGTTCCATGAAAATATTTTGGAAATCATATCTCAAACCATACATCAATGGAAAGCTTATTTATTCAGCTTTCAGATGATGTATAAATATAAAAGAATTTACCCATGTCCAAGGTCACATATAGATTTGATTGAAAACTGCTGATAACCCGTGTGATTCATGAGCTGACAGATGATGATGATGATGATGATGATGATGTCACTTGCAGGCAGGTGTGTCTCCATCTGCAACATCCAAACCTGAAGCTCCCGATGAAGGTGACGTCATTGTGTGTTTAAGATGATAATGATGTTGATGTGTGTGAGTCTAATGTCTGTGTAGATTTACTGACAGAAGACTATTGCAACCACATAGCGACACCCTAGCAACCTCCCAGAACACCACGCTGTAGCAACCACACAGCCACACTTAATTCGAAATCACTTAGAAGATCATAGCACAGCAAACCCCTAGCAACCCCTAGAATACCCTAAAACCTGCATAGCAACACCCCAACAGCCTAGAACACCACGCTGTAGCAACCACATAGCAACTTCTTAGAAACCACCAAGAACACCATAGCACTGCAAAATAACCCCATAGCAACACCCTAGCAACCACCTATAACACCCTAGCACCTGCATTGCAAGTGCTGCTGCACCCGCCGGTGTCACTGATATCAAGGGTTTCTGGATTCTACATATAATTCCTTTAAAACCATTTCAAAATACTTCAGAACGGTCTGGTCAGGCTCTTCTTTTTTTTTTAATTCAGTTACAATCTTTGATCGAGCAGGTGGAGATCACGGACACACGACACCAGCGGTCCAGAAAGAGGCTCAAGACGAATCTGCAGCCAGAAAACTCAAACACACACCTCAACACACTCACACACCTGAACACAAACACACAGCTGAACACACACCACCATCAGAGCACCACTCCAGCCGTCCTTCCGTGTCGTTCAGCACCTCGGACTGCATCAGTGAGTTACACACACACACACACACACACACACATGTTGAATCTGACCTCTGACTCACTCTTGTCTTCTGTCGTCAGTTCCTCCTCATCTGGATGATGTCCCAGAATCCCCTGTTCTGCCCACACTGTCAGTCACCGAGGGGGCGGAGCCGGGTCCTGTCACTCACAGCACAGAGGGAGGAGCCTCATCTGCCCCCCGTGAGTTTCATGATGTGTAATTCATGTCAGAAAACTCTTCTGCTGATACTGACCGTCGGCTCTGCCTGCAGCTCCTGAGTCTCCTGTGTTCGACACACACACCTCACACACACCGAGTGTCGGCCGCTCCATCTCCTGCGTTCAGTCCCGGACCGACCCAGAGGAGGGCGACACCGAGCGCCAGCGCACCAAGTCCCTCCCCTCGGCCGCTCCGGCCAATCACACCGCGTGATCATTTCTGACACTGCAGTGGCTTCTACTGAAATTTATATGTTTTAAAACTGTTTTTTACATAATTAAATCATTTCTAGTTAAACCTGAATGCAAGATTATGAGCTAGATCAGCGCTTCTCAACAAGGGGCCTCAAAAAACGTACAAGATGACTTAAAATATTTATCAAATTGAAAATATATATTAAAAATTATTTGCTAAAAAATCAAAAATCTAATTGTATTTTCCTCTAATCCAGTGTTATTATAGTATTATTGAGATACAGTTATAGTCTTTTTTAACCATTTTTAATTTTTTTGTTATTTTATTATTATTTTAATTATATCAATATAGTTTATATTCATTTTTATTTCATTTATTAGTACATCAAGTTATGTTTAGTTTTATTGGAGTTATTGTTTATTTCGTTTCATGTAACAATATGTTTTGTTATGATTCAGGTAAATATCATAACCCTCTCCATTGAAGATCAAACTGAATCTGGAATTTTCTGGAATCACTAAATCAACTGTAGTTCGTCACTTTAACAGTGTTTCTTAATAAAAAAAATTGAAATCAATCCTAATTGTCATAATTACAGCACAGGAAAATAAATATGAGCAATTATAAATGATTCATTGGTGGTGAGATTCTGAAGTGTGTAATCAACTTTTTTAAAAGGAGTATAAAACAACCTTTAAAAAACATGAACTGAATAATCTTGGAATAATGTATAAATAATGTTTTTGTGCTGTTGTGTGTGTGTGTGATAGATGTCGTCTGGGTCTGTTTAGACTAGTCGCTAGAAGAACATGTGTTGTTTGGATCTGATGAATTATTGATGCTCTTCTGTATTCTTCTATATCTGTGTGTGTGTGTGTGATCATGGGATGAATGTAGTTTCGCGTGTGCCGCGCAGCTGTGGAGTGTGTGGGTTTGCTCAGTGTGTGTGTGATTGTGTGTTGTCACCCATGACGGATCATTATGTGGGTGTAATTGTGGCCTGGAGGAGAGGAGGAGCTGCTGGTGCTCATGATGACCTGCAGCTCGACTCCATCATCAGTCATGGAGAGTTTCTTCAGAGGTCTGACCGCCACTGCCTTCCTCAACACCTGGACTCAGTTCGACCGCGACGGTGAGTTCACACACCTCACACACACCCCGACGGGGAGTTCACACACCTCACGCATGAGGAACGACCTTTGACCTGCTGCTGACCTCTGCTTCTGTGCAGATGATGGGTTCATCGACGCGAAGAACCTGGGGGAGTTTTTACGGCACGTGATGAAGACGCCGAAGACTGTGAGTGAAATCAAGTGTTTGTGTTTCGTAATCTACCATCAATGACATTCGTTTTGATATTTTGTATCTTATATGACATTCAGACGGACTTCAAATTTTGAATTTTGAATAATTAAGATTTGTTAATGTTTACAACATTATTCTGCTCATCAAAGCTGCTTTTATGTTATAAAAAAATAACAGTAAAAACAGTGAAATATTATTATTATGTAAAACGTCTCGGTTACGGCTGTAACCTCGGTTGGACTCGCGCTGCGTCGATTAACGCTGAGGGAACGCTTCGGCTGATGATGTCCTGAAGCACATGTGAAATCAGTTCGATGGTGTGGTGGAACGTGAGAGTCACGAACCAGTGAACTATAACTGTACGTTCACACCGCCGCCGACTTGAGCTTCCAAAGCCATTCATTTTCAATGGAAGCTGGCTTCTCTCAGCTGCAAGGAGCGTCAAATCCATCCGCGTCGCATTTTGGCCGTTTTGAGCACAAGATTACAATCAGCTAACCACAACCTACGAGAAACATCAGAGAATCAGGGTCACCTTAAAGGGGCACCATAACTTAGAAACGCATCTAACGGCTGCAAAGTGTACTTGCATTGACTTCGATTGCTGAACAAGTCCAGATGCAGGCGGTTCTTGAGATTCTTGATGGTTTTGCCTGGAGTGCGCTGAAGCATCATGGGGTGGTCCACGTTGAATCCAAAGAAGTTAACATGAAAATGAAGTGGCCGGAAGGAGACAGGAAAATGTTGTCTCAAAGATCTGACCTAACCTGACACTCTTAAGTCCTTGTTATCCCCATGTGCCACTCTTATCCCCATTTGCATGTTCATGGTGTCATGCACCAGTTTACGCATGTTGTTCATGGTGTCATGACAACAGGGGAGAGGGGGAAGGTCTTATTAAGTTCACTTGTTACGAGTCGCTGACAGACACGTAGGAGATATGGCAGGTGACGCAGCATCTCGTTCCCTCTCAGGGAACCAAGCTTACAGTAACCGTGGCATTCCCTTTCAAGGGAACTTGCGCTGTGTCGATTGGCGCTGAGGGAACGTCTGTACCAATGCCACCATAGCCACAAGATTCTGTCCAGTGTGAAATCGTGTGGGAACTAGCCAATGAGATCGCCTCGACCACCCACTTGCTCATTCTCTGCTTAGATGTTGGGGAACCCATGTCAGGGGACCCAAAACATACAAGCAACTGTTCAGATTTATGCCACGGGCAGCTCTGTGGACATAGGCATCGAATGCCCTGACTGGGCATAGCAGGTTATTATTTTCCTGGTCCCAGTTTAGGAAAGGTAGATCTGCAGTACAATAGATCTAGCCACATTAGAGGGAACCTTAGGAATGTATCCTGGTCCAGGGTGAAGGAACGCTTTGACCATGCCAGGTGGTCCTGACTCTCTGTGGTCATTAAAAATGCCAGGATGTCTTTGGAAAGAGTAGGGGTGTAACCCCGGCATCCTGGCCAAATTTGCCCAGTGGCCTCTGTCCATCATGGCCTCCTAATCATCCCCATCTATATACCGATTGGCTTCATCACTGTCTCCTCTCCACCAGTAAGCTGGTGTGTGGTGAGCGTTCTGGCGCACTATGGCTGCCGTCGCATCATCCAGGTGGAGCTGCACATTGGTGGTGGTATGATCTCAGGTGTCACGTGTGTGTGTCGTGTTTGTAGTTTGATGAGCAGTTGCTCCAGAAGATCCAAGACACGATTCTGTCCAGCTGTGGAGTTACAGGAGGACGCCTGTCGATGGAGCAGGTACTGACATACATCTATCTATCTATCCATCCATCATCCATCCATCCATCTTATCCATCTATCTATCCATCCATCATCCATCCATCCATCCATCCACCCTCCCACCCATCCATCCATCCATCTTATCTATCTGTCCATCCATCCATCATCCATCCATCCATCCATCCATCCATCCATCCGTCCATCCATCTTATCTATCTGTCCATCCACCCACCCATCCATCCATCCATCCATCCATCCATCTTATCTATCTGTCCATCCACCCATCTGTGGGGATGAGTAACGGATGATCCTCTAATGCTGATGTTGTTGTGTCTGCCATCAGTTGGCCGCTGTGGTTCTCCCCGAGGAGGAGAACTTCCTGTTGCTGTTCCGCAGGGAGACGCCGCTGGAGAACAGCGTGGAGTTCATGAGGGTCAGAACCTCACACTTACATTCTTCATCATCATCAGGTTTGTCTTACTTACAGTTCAGTTTAAATCAGGTGTTCAGACTCTCTGGTCTCATCTCAGATCTGGCGCTGCTATGACACCGACAGCAGTGGATACATCTCTGCTGCGGAGCTGAAGGTGAGCTGTGCTGATGATGTCACTTCCTGTGCACGCATGAGTGTGTGTGTGTGTACTCACGCTGCTGTCTCTGTTTTGATGATGTCAGAGTTTCCTGCGGGATCTTTTCCATCAGAACAACAGAGAGATCACCACAGCCAGACTGGAGGAGTACACCGCTATCATGGTAACATATGCAATTATAGATTACAAATTATTTTTTTCAAAATGTATCTTTTAGAAAAATAGTTTTGTATAATTTATGGGTCTATTTTAAACCCCTCAGTTCTCCATCTTCTAAAGCCAAGCTGATGACACACACACACACACGTGACACACACAGTTTAGTAGATCGATTGATGATGTATTGACTCATTATATAATAATTTTTAGTTTTAGTTAAGAATAATAACCGTATGTAATAATAACTCATGTGATTCTGCCTCCTGACTCTCAGATGAAGATGTTTGACAAAAACCAGGATGGTCGTTTGGATCTGAATGATTTGGCGAGGTGATGCGAATCTCATCGAACACATCGTCAGTCACATGACTCAGGAATAACTGATTGTGATTTGTCAATCAGATGTTTGTGTCTAATGTATAACTAATGGTTTTCTCTCTCAAGTTTATCCAGTTCCCTTTCGAAACGGTTCACTTTGCATTGCGTTATTATTATATTAATAATCCACACACTATGGGGAAACTCCATTTTCTCAGAATACTGAAGCCTGATTGGTTCATGTCTGTGTACTTGCAATGACAAATGGCATCTCACAACTCCGATCCATACTTAAGGGTTTATTTGGTATATTTATATGATGCATACAATCATAAAGTCAATAATAATTTGATTTTTGGTTTGATTCATAATAATGTATTTAAATATGCATAAAAAGATGTGAATACATATATAGTGAATGACCTTTATATTGTTGTTAATGTTTGTGTGCAGGATCCTGGCGCTGAAGGAGAACTTCCTGCTGAAGTTTGAGATGAAGGCGAGTGAGATATGAAGCGTAACTCGTGGTGTTCAGGTGTGTGTGTGCTGTAATGATGAGCTGTGTGTGTGTGTGTGTGTGTGTTCAGGCCGGCAGTCGGGAGGATCGGCGCAGAGACTTCGAGAAGATCTTCGCTCACTATGACGTGGTAAAAGGAGAAATGAGCTAATCTCTAACTATTTTTAGATTTCTTTTTCTTTTTTATTTCTTTTTTTTTGTTATTTTGTCTTTTTATTTTAAAAAAAAAAGTATATTCTTTTTCATTTTGTCATTTTTTTATTTTTATTTTGTCATTTTCTGTGTTTATTCTTTTTGTTTTTGTTTTTAGTGGATGAAGTTAAACTATGTTAATGTGTGTGCTGTTGTGTATTAGTGTATTATATGTGTATTAATTTTTTATGTATTTAAGTGTTTTAATCCATGAAGTTAAACTGAAATGTGTGTGTGTGTGTGTGTGTGTGTAGAGTAACACCAACGCTCTGGAGGGCGAAGAGGTCGATGGCTTTGTCAAAGACATGATGGAGCTGGTGAAGGTGAAGCTCGTTATATCTCAGAACCCCTGACCGTTTGTGTTGATCTGGCTGGTTAGATGCTCACGTGTGTGTGTGTGTGTGTGTGTGTGTTTCAGCCCAGTCTCAGCGGCTCGGACCTGGACAAGTTTAAACGGGTTCTGCTGGGTCACTGCGACCTCAACGGAGACGGGAAGATCCAGAAGAACGAGCTAGCGTTGTGTCTAGGGCTCAAACTCTGAGAACACTCATTACACCCTGTATGTGTGTGTGTGTGTGTGTGTGTGTGCCAGCACTGTAAGACACACAAGTCCCCCTTTTACATAAGTTTGTTTAGCACCTGTCAATCTCAAAATGGCAGCCAATTAAGTGAAAGAAGGCGGGGTTTACTGTTAGTGTTTTAGCAGTGAAAGAGTGCTTGTGAAGATTCATGCTAAACATTGAACATTTGACAACTTTAGCGACCGAGTAATATCCAGTGATGTGAACTTCTCAAAGTTTTGTCTTGAAATTTCACCGTTTTGAATTGAAATTGTGCTATTGTTTATGTTGAGACAAATGTGCATTTTCATTTTAGATTTGCCAATAAGAGTGAATGTGTGCATGCTTTAAATGGATTACATTGTTACTACAATAGACCTGGTACTCTATATTATTATCACTCTCTCTTTATTCTTTTAAATCAGTTTTACTCTTATAATGATTCAGCTGTCAGTGATTAAAGCTCAAACTCAAGCTTATGATCTCTTTTATTAATGCTTCTAGTTCATTTTTATCCATAAATGTAAATGCATGGAAAATTCAACTTTATTTTATTTGCCTAAATTTATTTATTTTGATGTGTATAAATAAATAACTGGTATTTACTTTGTTCTCAATGAATAATCCTAAAGTTCTTAATGTATTACTTTTATGTAGTAAGTGTAGTTTGTGTCCTGTTATGTGCAGTAATATCTGGTTTGTATGAATGCATATCTTTACTGTATTTACATCATCTGTACTGCCATTGTATCATTATGTATGTACAAGATTTGTGGTACTTAATAATAATAATAATAAATATCAATAATCTGAACCACTATATCTGAACCATTATATCCTGAGATAGATAGATAGATAGATAGATAGATAGATAGATAGATAGATAGATAGATAGATAGATAGATAGATAGATAGATAGATAGATAGATAGATAGATAGATAGATAGATAGATAGATAGATAGATAGATAGATAGATAGATAGATAGATAGATCATTTGTCCTCTAGGTGGCGCTCGATCTACATTAAAAACCCTCTGGAGTGTTTTTTTTGGCCAGTGTAAAATAAAATAAAAATAATTTTGAAAATAAGTAAATGAAAGTAAATAATATTTGATTTAAATAGTGACACTTCAAACAGTACAATAGTGGTTAGAAAAGTAATATTATACATATTTAGCGGATTAATTTTTCACACTATCACTTGGGTCTTTACACATGCAAATATATAGTAGCCTTTTAAAGTTTCGGATGTGGGTCCATCGCACGAGGATGATCATATTTGATAAAAATGATCTAGAATATTAATACTCCCCGCATTGGAGAATACAATTGTTAAAATATATTTATTCCATTCTGACATTAGATGTAAATCGCTGCTATCTCTCCTCTGATTGGTCCATCCTAAGCAGCGCTGAGGAAAGTAACTTAAACACGTGACATCTGTCTATACGCTATTTATACAACTGAGTGAGTTTAGAATAGCATAATACTTTACTGTCTCTGCCATATGAAGTAGTATGCAAGTATAACATTCAAATTGCACCTATAATTATTACTTTAGACCATCGATACTCCAAATCGAGACTCTTCCGGGTCGCGAAGCCCCGCCCACTTGACCACGTGTCTGTTGTGTTGATGGGCGCGTTGAGAAGCGCGTGCAGGTTTTATTTCTCTACTTCTGCAAAAATCACAATGGCAAACTTCAGATTCATAGGTGAGATATCACTATTATGTGTCTGATAATTTAAGAAATGATCTGAAAAATGAAGGTTTATAATTATGCCACTGTCACTATCACTCATAAAGAAACATATAGGTTTTGAATAAGCTCTATTATGAACACAATATCGATCTTGTCTGCAGATATTGGCATCAATCTAACAGACTCGATGTTCAGAGGAGTCTATAGAGGAACTCAGAAACATGAAGGTAATGATATTATGAAAATTCATTGCTTTTAAAAATGAAGAATATACACTGGCCACTTTATTAGGTACACTTGCTTCCAAGTGATACGGGATAAATGTAGGGCAGATTTTCTGCATGAAGAGTGTATTGGCACACACTTTATACGTGTGTCATGTTGTTTCAGAGCAGATCACAGTGTGTGACGTCTGTTGTGTCTCTCAGATGATTTCCCTCAGGTCATCGAGAGAGCGCTGAAGGTCGGCGTGCAGAAGGTCAGCAAAAGTCTTCATCATCCATAAATGATGTTTGAGCAAAAATGAGGTCTTCAGTGTTTCCTTCGAGTTTCCTGTTTTTTTTCCTTCACTTCCTCCATATTTCCAGTTTCCTACACGTTTCTTTCTTATTTTTCAATATTTCCTCTGTGTTTCCTTCATGTTTCCTTCATGTTTCCTCTGTGTTTCCTCAGTGTTTCCTTCATGTTGTTTTAATGTGTCCTCCGTGTTCAGGGCCGGCGCTCCGCACACGCACATCACGCACTGCGCGTAGGGCACCAAGTGCTTGGGGGGGCACCAAAAAATCTGGGTGGTGAAAAATCATCACAATAGGCTACTAGTATAAATAACAAATACAATATGTCTAAAGCATGTTAATATACAAAAGCAATACAAAAGTAATATAGGCCTAGACCAAATTAGTGGAGAAAAAGGTGAATCTCCTGTGCCACTCTCCCTCTGGTGCCCCCCCTTCCCCACCTCGCAGTGGTCTGTTCCTCAATCAGTGTCAAATTTGGCAGACACCTGATCGACATCAGACATGGTCTCTAAAGAGTCGGGGGCGGAAAAAAGGAAAAAGAAGAGACAGTGGGATGATACTTGTTTGCAGGTAAGACAATGTTTTAAATAAAAGTGTTAGTTTTGTAGGCACCCTTGCTTCGTGTATGCATGTCCAGAGGGGCGTCGCTAGTTGTGCAAATGATCCAGGGCTTTGCCCTGCATGTAGAATTTTTTATTTTAACGGGGGTCCGGGGGTTTCTCCCTGGGTTTTTTTTTTTACTTGGGCTGTTTAAGATGCAGTTAGTTTGTTTGAGAAGAAAAGGAAGATCGCTTAGATATGTTTTTTCGTTGTTGTTCTATCGGATAATGCGGTCAAAGGCCCAAGGGCGACATCTATTGGTGAAACTGCAATTAAAAAAAAAAACACAATCTCACTGTTTGTATATTTTCATATGGAGTTGTCAAATTATTAGGGCTGGGAAAAGCGTAATCACATCCAAAATAAAAGTTTCTACATGAGTACTGTGTATAATTATTTTGTATATATAATATACACACATATATATATTTAAGAAATATTTGCATGTATATACTGTATATATTAATAGATAATTTATATTATATATATATATATAAATTAAAATATTTTATATATAAATAACAAATATTTCTTAAATACATATACAAAATAATTATACACAGTACACACACATAGGCCTATATCATTAATGTAGACACAAACTTTTATTTTGGATGCGATTAATCGCGATTCATCTTTTCAGCCCTACAAATTATGTACAGAATTATTATACTGTGCCTCATCAGACCTCTTTTAAAGGTAGAATAGAGTTTTGAATTTTAAATGTTCCAGTGACACATAGGCCTATATTATATAAAAGACTAATGTGTGCAATATTTTTGTATACGATGGTTATTGATTTAGTACAATCCGTGAATATTTTGTCTTGTATTTCTGAATGCAGGGTCAATGCTAAAATACATGCAAGGAGCAACTCAAGGCCAGGAGGAAGAACCATCAACCAGCAGTTGTAGCCAGTTCCAAAAATGTGTTTTTAGTAATTGTGGTGGTTTTTGGTATTTATAATTTTAACCTTTTTATTATTTATTACTTTTCATATTTGGTGCCATTGTTAATGTAAATGTATTTATTTGCAGCAGTTATTTTGGAAGTAAAGAGAACCTAACTAAGAAATTCTGAATGGTTGTTATTCCTTGGGTGAGTGGGTGGTGGGGGTGGGTGGGGGGGCGGGTGTTAAGGGGGCACCACCAAGCATTTGTGCTTAGGGCACCCAAATGGCTAGCGCCGGCCCTGTCCGTGTTTCCTTCATGTTTCCTCAGTTTTCCTCATGTTTCCTTGATGTTTCCTCTGTGTTTCCTTCATGTTTCCTCAGTGTTTCCTCAGTGTTTCCTTCATGTTGTTTTAATGTGTCCTCTGTGTTTCCTTCATGTTTCCTCAGTGTTTTCCTCAGTGTTTCCTTCGTGTTTCCTCCAAATTTCCTAAGTGTTTCCTCCGTGTTTCACCCGTGTTTCCTCCTTGTTTCCTCTGCTTCCTCCGTGCTTCCTCTGTGTTTCCTCAGTATTTCCTTGATGTTTCCTCCGTGCTTCCTCTGTGTTTCCTCCGTGTTTCCTCAGTATTTCCTTGATGTTTTCTCAAAATTTTCCTCAGTGTGTTCAGTAAAGGTCATTAATAGTGATATCTGAGCAGGAATGAGGTTGATCATGATGTTTCCTCAGTTCATCATCACTGGAGGATCCCTGGAGGACAGCAGAGAGGCGCTCAGACTCGCTCAGACCCGAGGTAACATCACTCCATGCGGCATCACTGCAGCTCTGCGGCCACACAGTAATGTGTGTGTGTGTGTGTGTGTAGAGGGGTTCTTCAGCACCGTGGGCTGTCACCCGACCCGCTGTTCTGAGTTCGACTCGCTGGGCTCGGATCAGTACCTGTCGTCTCTGCTGGATCTGAGTCTCAGTGACACACAGAAGGTGGTCGCTGTGGGAGAGTGTGGCCTCGGTAAACCTTCATGCCAATCCTTAGGGAAATATATAAACTTCACTGCTTTCCTGACCATGTAGAATTATCCAAGTGAACAATGAATCAGATGTTGTTAATGATCATCAGTTGATCTGTTTATCTGGTTTTCTCTTCCAATGCTGCACAGATTTTGACCGGTTGGAGTTTTGTCCCAGAGAAACTCAACTGAAGTAAGTGTTTTTCCCACATTAAAGCTGTTTGTTTTGCTAATATAGTGATGTTTATCACGTGTGTTTGTGGTTATGTTGATCTTGTGTGTTTGTGATGTTGATCTTGTGTGTTTGGATCTCACAGATACTTCGAGCTGCAGTTTGATCTGGCTGAGGAGACTCGGTTACCCATGTTCCTCCACTGCAGGAACTCACACACAGATTTCCTTGGTACGGAGTATCTTCTGGAAACGTGTGTGTGATGTTGAGTGTGTGTGAGTAAACTATATGTGTGTGTCACTCACAGATATAATGAAGAGGAACAGAGACCGGTGTGTCGGTGGAGTGGTGAGTGTGACTTGTATCTTTTGGCATCATGATAGTTCCTCCATATTTCCTCTATATTTCCCGTTTCTCCTTTGTTCCTTCCATGTTTCCTCCGTGTTTCCTCTGTGTTTCCTCCATATTTTCTTGGCGTTTCCTCCTTGGTGTTTCCTCAGTGTTTCCTCCATATTTCCTTGGTTTTTCCTAGGTGTGCCCTTGGTGTTTCCTCCGTGTTTCCTCAGTGTTTCCTCCGTGTTTCCTTGGTGTTTCCTAGGTGTGCCCTTGGTGTTTCCTCCGTGTTTCCTCTGTGTTTCCTCCGTTTCCTCCATGTTTCCTCAGTGTTTCCTCCGTGTTTCCTCCATATTTTCTTGGTGTTTCCTCCTTGGTGTTTCCTCAGTGTTTCCTCCATATTTCCTTGGTGTTTCCTAGGTGTGCCCTTGGTGTTTCCTCCGTGTTTCCTCTGTGTTTCCTCCATTTCCTCCGTGTTTCCTCTGTGTTTCCTTGGTGTTTCCCTTGGTGTGCTCTTGGTGTTTCCTCCATGTTTCCTCAGTGTTTCCTCCATTTTCTCCATGTTTCCTCTGTGTTTCCTCCATATTTCCTTGGTGTTTCCTAGGTGTGCTCTTCGTGTTTCCTCCGTGTTTCCTCAGTGTTGTCTCTGTGTTTCCTCTGTGTTTCCTCAGTGTTGTCTCCGCGTTGTCTCCGTGTTTCCTCAGTGTTTCCTCTGTTTCCTCAGTGTTTCCTCCGTGTTTCATCTGCATTTCCTCTGTGTTTCCTCAGTGTTTCCTCTGTGTTTCCCCTGTGTTTCCTCAGTGTTTCCTCAGTGTTTCCTCTGTGTTTCCTCCGTGTTTCATCTGCGTTTCCTCTGTGTTTCCTCAGTGTTTCCCCTGTGTTTCCTCAGTGTTTCCTCCGTGTTTCATCTGCATTTCCTCTGTGTTTCCTCAGTGTTTCCTCTGTGTTTCCCCTGTGTTTCCTCAGTGTTTCCTCAGTGTTTCCTCTGTGTTTCCTCAGTGTTTCCTCCGTGTTTCATCTGCGTTTCCTCTGTGTTTCCTCAGTGTTTCCCCTGTGTTTCCTCAGTGTTTCCTCCGTGTTTCCTCTGTGTTTCCTCTGTGTTTCCTTGATTTTCTCCGGGTTTCCTTAGTGTTTCCTCGTGTGTTTCCCAGGTTCACTCGTTTGATGGCACGCGTCAGGACGCAGCGGCTCTGATAGATCTCGATCTCTACATCGGTATCAACGGCTGGTGAGTTCAGTGTCTCTGACTGATGCTTGTCTCACAGTTTATTCATTGTTAAAATGATTTTATTTCTATATTTTAGCTCTTTGAAAACAGCAGAGAATCTGGAGGTGATGAAGTCGATCCCATCGGACAGACTAATGATCGAAACAGGTTCAGGCCAAATCTTTTTCTATCACAGGAACACTATATATGAATATAATTTTATAAAAAAATTTTGTTGCTGGAAATTCAGCTACAGTTTGAGGTCGGTAAGACTGTTTACTTGAATTGAAAGAGTCTCTTCTGCTCACCAAAGCTGCTTTTATTTGATGAAAATTAAAGTAAAAACAGTGAAATATTATTCCAGTGAATATCATCTGTTGTCAATGTGAATATCCAGTAAAGTGTAATTTATTCCTGTGTTCAAAGCTGAATTTATCATCATTACTCCAGTCTTCAGTGTCACATGATCCATCAGAAATCACTCTAACATGATGACCTGATGCTCAAGAAACAATGTCTCTGTGTTTCTTTACGTGTTCGTGTCCCAGACGCGCCGTGGTGTGGCATTAAAAACACTCACGCAGGAGCGAAGATGATCAGAAGCTCGTTCCCCACCAAGAAGAAGTGGGAGACGGGACACTGCGTGAAGGACCGCAACGAGCCCTGCCACATCATGTATGACACACACTCTCTCTCTCACACACACACACACACTCTGAAATGATGACTGAACTGTGTGTACTGTGATTATTAGACAAGTTCTGGAGGTTCTGGCGGCGGTGCGGGACGAAGACCCACTGGACCTGAGTGAAACCATCCACGACAACACCACGAGACTCTTCTTCAAGAACAGTTCATGAGAACGACTTGCATTTCCACACGTGTGTCTGTTATACTGAAGATGCACAATAAAGGCGACAGGAACTGTGTGTTCTGGACACGGTTATTATTGCTAAAGTCCAGCCATCTTTATTTAAACAGCACAGAGCAGCTTTACAGAGATAACAGGAGAATAATGCAACAGAGTTTGTGTTTAGAAGCGTCACAGTCCAGCTTAAGTTCAGTCATTTCTGTTGTAAGAAAGTTATTAATTTAGTTCATTTATATATATCTATATAAATCTCTGGTGAAAACCGTGATGTCATCGTCCAGTTCAGTTCTCATATAATTCTGTCAATGCAGGAGATTAAATTAAAAATATTTTTTTTTTCAAATAGAAAATTTAGAAATATATCTGAAGATGTTTCTGTTAAAATATGCATGTCATTATTAAATATAAACCGAAATCATATGAATAACAGAGTTTTATTATTTTATTAGTGTGCACGCTGGCTGTGGCGTGTGTAGTTACTCTGCCTACTCTGCACTGCGCGCATGTGCTTAGTCACTTCCGCGTTCCTCACATAGCAACAGCAGAAGAGCCAAAATGGCGGCAGGTGGAGATCCTGCGTGACATCGAACCGAGTCACAACACCCAAACCTGCGGTTCCCGGACAGCGGCGTCTCGCCATGGCCTCCGCTCACGGGCGGCTGGGTCAGCACTTTCTGGCCGTGCTGGATGTGGCTCTGCGGGTCCCGAGCATCTTTATAATCGACGCGATATTCAACTCATACTCGGATCCCGGTACCGGATGGAGCGGAACCGCCGGAAGAGCGTTAATCCGCGCCCTGGGTGAGTCTGTCAGTCAGTCAAACCGGGATCTGGGTCGATCAGGCGAGTTCTAGTGCTGAGGTTCTGGTTCTGCTGTTTAATTCAGAGATAATGAGCTTAAATCCGCGAACCGGGCCTGGAAGCAGAACCGTGTGACAGCCAAATCACGCGCTTTGATCTCCGTGTGTTTATAACGTGAGAGAAGCTGTCAAACTGTCCGTACATTCATATGACGCAAGAGTTATAAATAATATGTAACGTTAACTTAAATAATAATCACAATGTGTTCATGAACCATCTCGCAAATGACAGCCACCGTTTATGTTTAACGTTACATTGGACGACACAACATTAATATCTCATTAAAACTGTCATTTAAATGTTTGTATGCAAATCAGTTGTTAATTTTAATCAGTAATATTACAGGTTCCTGTATTGTGTAGTGTTGTCACGATACTGGAGTTTGTGACTTCGAAACGATACCTGAATAGTTTACAGTTTTACTTCAGAGAGAATTGATATATGATAAATATACAATACAATTTTATTTGTATCACATTTAAAACAAATGACGTTGACCAAAGTGCTTAACAAATCAATAAAAAGGTAGACAAAACATGCACAAGTCAAACAGATGCACGTCAAAGAGAAAAGACATCGAGGTACATTAAAAGCTAGTGAAAAAGGTGCGTTTTCAAAGAAGTTTTAAGAAATGTCAGAGTTTGGGCAGATCTGATATTTGAGGGTAGGCTATTCCATAATTTGGGTCCATAAACTGCGAAAGCACAGTCACCCCTGTTTTTTAGTCTGGTCCTGGGGACAGAAAGATTTCTCCGATCTTAGTGATCTTGACTTCAATTTTGGGTGAAGCAGTTCGGATAAGTGCTGGGAGCTAAATTTTGTAAAGATTTAAAAACAAAAAGCAAAACTTTAAAATCTTTTCGAAACTTAATCGGTAGCCAGTGAAGCGAGATCATAACCGGAGTAATATGTTCAAATTTTTTTATATGTTCAGGTTTTTTTTTTCAGTCTTGTTTTCATTTAAACTCAAAAAGTTATCAGTAAACCAGTTTCAGTTCATCTATACAGTCCAGTAGAGGCTTTAAGGCAGACTTATCATTACATTTTAGGGGCATATAGGTGATAAGAAACCCCATGTTTAGTTAAAACGTGGCGTTTCTTATCACTTCTTATTGTATTGTATAAATGTATCCAAATATTCGAAATTCAGTCGAATGCAACTCCAATCTAATGGTTAAATTACATTTTAGTAATCAAAAAAGATGTGTAATTAGTTGAATTCAGAAAAACAACAATTTAATATATTTTTATCAATTTTTTTTAGAAATGTGTATATTTTTCTGGCAATCAAATGAAGGCGTAAAACATTAATTTAATTTAACATTGAAACAACGTATTTACTGTTAAAATTAAAACATGGTAGAAAAATGTTTTGAACATGCAGAAATCATATTTTATTTTGTGTGTGTGTGTGTGTGTGTGTTAATGCAGGATTCATATTTGAATAAGTGTTTTTGCGGTTTACACTTTTCCGCATCATAGGGCCCTAAATATAGCCGATCAAACCGTGAAACTTGTGTAAAATCATATCGAAGTTCTCTTGCAAAACTGAACGTGAGGCATCATCACCATGTGAATGTTGATGTGTAGCATTAGCATGTTGTGTGTAGCGCGTCAGTTTTCATGCCCTCCGTGTCTTGCAGGTATTCTGGTCTCCGGTGTGGTTCTGGTGCTTTCCCAGAAGTCCCTGTTCAAGTTCTACACCCTGCTGGCGGGCGTTCTGCTGGGCGTGGCCTCGGTTCTGCTCAACTACTACGGCACGTCTCCGGCGGTGGCGCTTCTGCCGCTGCGTAACGGGCCGACGCTCTGGCTAGGGCTAGCGCTGTTGCAGCTACTGCTAGGACTGGGCTACGTGGCGCTGCTGAACGTGCAGTCGCTCTGCGCTGCCCTGCTGGTGGCGAACATCATGGCACCACTGTGTGGGATGGCGGCGGAACTGCCGGCGGACGCACGGAAGACATTAGCGCTGGCCTCCGGCGCAGTTCTAGCGGCGCACTCCGCCATTAACCTCCTGCTAAAACTCAAGTGGTTCTACTACTCGTGCCGCTACGTCTACTTACTGCTACGCCACATGTACCGCATCTACGGCTTGCAGCTGCTGCTCGAGGACACGTGGAAGCGCATACGCTTCCCGGACATACTGCGCGTGTTCTGGCTTACACGCATGACCGCGCAGGCCGTAATCCTAGCGTACGTGGTGCGCGTAGTGCGCTCCGAAAGCGGGCTTCCGCTTGGATGGGACGTGTTCTGGGATTTGCTCGGCAACCTCATCATCAGCGGCTGCGACTCCACGCTAACCGTGCTCGGCATGAGCGCCGTCATCTCCTCGCTCGCGCACTACCTTGGACTTAGCATCCTTGCGTTCATCGGCTCAACTGAGGAGGAGGATAAGCGGTTAGGCTTCGTAGCGCCTGTGTTGTTCTTCATCCTCGCGCTGCAAACGGGATTAAGCGGATTGATTCCAGAGGAACGGCTTGTGCGGCTAAGCAGGAACATGTGCCTCTTGCTAACGGCTATCCTGCACTTCATCCACGGTATGACGGATCCGGTGCTAATGTCTCTCAGCGCGTCGCACGTCTCCTCCGTGCGCAGACATGTTCCCGTCCTGCTGGTGTCGCTAGCTCTGTTCGCGCTGCCCGTGCTGCTCAGCTACGTGCTCTGGCATCAGTTCGTGCTGAACACGTGGCTGTTCGCCGTCACCGCGTTCTGCGTGGAGCTCTGCCTGAAAGTGCTAGTGTCGCTAACCGTCTACGCGCTCTTCATGATCGACGGCTTCTACAACGTGCTCTGGGAGAAGCTGGACGATTACGTGTACTACGTGCGCTCCACCGGAAATGTGATCGAGTTTGTGTTCGGCGTGATCATGTTCGGGAACGGCGCTTACACTATGATGTTTGAGGCGGGTAGCAAGATCCGCGCGTGCATGATGTGTCTCCACGCGTACTTCAACATATACCTGCAGGCTAAGAACGGCTGGAAGACGTTCATCAACCGCCGCACCGCCGTGAAGAAGATCAACTCGCTGCCGGAGCTTAAAGGCGCACAGTTACGGGACATCGAGGACGTCTGCGCGATATGCTACCAGGAGTTCGCTACGTCCGCGCGCATCACGCCGTGCCACCACTACTTCCACGCACTCTGCCTGCGCAAGTGGCTGTACATCCAGGACACATGTCCCATGTGCCACCAGCGCGTTTACATCGAGGACGACGGACTCGAGCATGTTCCGTCCTCAAACAACAACGGCTACGCCGCGGCGGCTCCGGAGGCGGAGTTTGATGAGGAAGGGGGAGGGGCTGATGTGGACGTGGCCGAGGGAGGGGCGGAGCCTGCGAACGAGCTCCTCGAGGACAACGACAGCATCGAGTACGACGAGGACGAGTGGGGAACGCAACCTGGCGCCGCGCTAGTCGAGGACGACTACGCTAACAACGACGACGACACCGACTCCAACTGATGTTGTGTTTGTGTTGGTATTAAAGGGCTGATCATGTGTTTATCGCGGATAAAAAGCGGCGTGCTCCTCGATATGATCACTACTGGTCTCTTGTGTGACCTCTCTTATAATTGTGTACATTCTTGTACATGTAATAAAGATGCTGCAGTTGTGCACTGGAGAAGCTGAATCAGCTGCTAATCTCTGATAGCTCATCATGCGAGTCCTGTTCCATCTCACCGGAAGGGCTGCGGCTCCACGTGTTCGCTTTCAGTCTAAACTGTTGATTTATTTGCCAAGAGAACTGATGTAAATAAAGAATCAGCTTGATTTCTTTTGTAAATAAAAATTAATATGCTGATAAATCTATGTTGATCTGGAACTTTGCACTTAATTATATATTTTTGGAATGTCTTTGTTGTTTGTTTTCTCACAGGTTTTTTTTTTCTTCGTTCTCTCAACATGACTTTGATTTGATTCTGTTTAATTTAAACTTTTTAGAAGGGAAGGTTCACAGTTTGTTAATTGTGAAATGCATTTAGAGGATGTGATATAGCATCATTACGCTACACCTGTAATGAGTGTTTATATTGGGACTATTTTAGACCCATCATCATAATACAGAGAAGTAGTTCCGGTTACAATGTTCTTCCGCAAGATTCATTCATTGGCCAGTTGCATCAACATAGCCATTATAATATGACTGTGTCTTCAGTTCTAGTATGAATGACCCACTAGCACACAGTTAAGGTTAGGCTAGCTAGTTAGGGGCAGTCAATCTTAGTTTTCGGTATCAAATTAGGCTAATCTACTTTTTAATTAACTGATTTAAAAAAGCTATGAACAGTCTTAAAGGGATACTCCACCCAAAAATGAAAATTCTGTCATCATTTACTCATGACGACATGAATAAATGATGAGTTTCTTTCTTCTGCTGAACACAAATGAAGATAATTTGAAGAATGACTAGAACTAAACAGTTAAAAAATACTATGGAAGTCAATGGTGCCAAAGTTCCTATCGTTTTTTAAAATATCTTCCTGTGTTCAGCAGAAGAAAAAATCTCAAACAGTTTTGTAGCAACTTGAGGGTGAGTAAATGACAGAATTTTCATGTTTGGGTGGAGTATCCCTTTAAAGAAACATATTTTATGTCTAACTTGTAAGACTAGTCTTAGAGGTTTATGCAATCGCTTAATAAACCGACTGTACCTTTAAGATTTACCAAAGCATTTTTTATCACTGTAATTATTTGTGTTGCGGAAAGCGGCGTCCATACTAAAAGACTCAACATGAATCTATCTCAAGTTCCTAATGTTGCAAATGCATTATGTCCACTCCACTCATGTGTCCTGATTTTAACTCGTCAGCAGCGACGAGCGAAGGACGTCTTCAACGATTTTAACTACGTATCCCATGACGCATCTGCCGCGCAGAACTATATTTCCCATCATGCATCATCAGCGCGATCGCGTCAGAGCAGAGCGTGTGGAAAGTCTCAGGCGTAGTTGAACAGTCATTGATCACAAACAACGATGAATCATAACGCTAAATGAACAGCATAGGAGGAACATATCTCACAATAGAAGAGAGAGGTTAGAATGGGAACGGATTTTTGAGGCGCGTCGGCTGTGTCCGTTGGTGCTGCGCGCGCACTCTGGGTTATTTTGGTTCAGTGAGGCAGTATGACATGCGCGTTTGATTTTGCTCAGCTGTTTTTGATATGTTTATTATATGAATAGCATACAGACGCTCTAGTGTCGCGTTCATTCATGTGTTATAGGGCGTGTCTGGATCTTTCGCGTGTTTTTATTCTGTGGTGATGATCCGGTTGGCTTTAGTGCGCGCGCTCGTGGCCGGTCGCGCGCCCGGACCGGGTCACCTACACAGATGTTTCCTCGGAACACACCGGCGCAAAGTCAAGCCCGAGCTGCTGGACCTGCCGGACCAGGCCCGGGAGTTCGTGTACGGCCTGAGCCCGGCGACCCGGGTCTGCTTACTGAAGGAGCTGCAGAACTTCCAGTCCTCGGGGGAAGGTAACGGACCGTATACCGTGATATTCTGTGTGTGTGTGTGTGTGTGTGTTTGCCAGTCTGGTCTCCCAACAAACTAGCAAGCCGACCCTTTCACCTTATGAATCCATAATTTTACCATGATACTACATGTATTTGTGACAGACATTATTATACACATATTCCTCAAGTCAGCTTTATTTCTACAGCGCTGTTCGACATCAGAGACTCACGATGATTCAGATCTTCCTCGGTTTACACTGACTCTGTGGTTCTGACCCGGTTCCTCTCTCTCAAACTCAGTGTCAGCAGTGTGTGTGTGTGTTCACTATCAACACGGTTCAAGCCTGCGTCATCTCTTTCATCTGAGGGTGTGTGAGTGTGAGAGAGAGAGATTAAGTGTGTGTCTGTGTGAAAGAGAGAGAGAGTGTGTGTTTGTATACATACGGCTGTAAGGTCAGAGGTCAGCGTGTTTTCCATCCCATCTAACAGAATCACTGATGCTGAAACAACATTTATCATGTCAGTCACACACTCGATAATTGATTTCACTCCGAGATCTGAGTGTCACACACTGATGATGATGATGATGATGATGATGTGTTTAACGATGACCTTGAGGCTGAATGACCCCTGCGGGCCTGATGAGGTCAAACAGCTTGAAGAGAACAGATCTGCGTCATCTTACACACACACACACACACACACACACATAGACCAGATCAATCCTGATGAAAACGCACTATTATCAAACATATCAGTGACTAGAGTTGATTAAGAAATATTCATAAGAGTCATAAACGGGAATCATTAATACGACACATTAATCAGGATAGAATGAATCGCTCTGCTTACACCAGTGAAACATGTGAAATACATTTTCCCTGTAATTTTAGTTTTTAAATGTATAAGTAGTGCTTTATTTTTAAACAGATTAAATGTTAACTCTTAAAAATATATATTTTTTTAAGTTATGCATTTATTTGATTTATTTTTTTAAATAATCTTTTTAGCTAGCATTTTATTTTGAATTTGAAATCTTTTCTGCAGCTCAAAAACATCCAAATGAAATATACATTTTTACTGCATAATCTGTTGCAGTGATTTTAATTTATGCTCATTTAAATGGCATAAATTAAAATAGAAAAGTAAAAAATTAAAATCAAACTTGTTTATAATTTTTATTTTAAAGAAAAAAAAAATTTTCTCACTCCTAGTTAATAAGCGATTATGAATCATTTATTAGATTGTAGTTTTGTTTTTATTCAGTCGACACTTTTTAAGACGTTTTTCAACCAAATATAGTTTGAGTTTTTAGCAATAAAAGAAGATATAATTCTACCATAAATGTTTATAAACCACAGAAGTCTATCAGTCATACGCGATCTGACGTGTGTGTGTGTGTGTTTCAGACTCGGGCGAATCATCTCCGCTGACGTCGGCTCAGCTCAGATACAGTGAGTTCAGATTTGTATTTATTTTTTATGTTTATTTATATAAGGACAGAACAAAATCATAAAATAAAGTGAATACAACATGTGATATCCACACATAAACACACACACGTGTGTATCGCCTGCAGTTCTGCTGCACAACGCCATTCCCTTCGTGGGCTTCGGCTTCCTGGATAACGCCATCATGATCGCCGCCGTGAGTCATCAGATTTATCATTATGATTCAGAACTGCAAACATATTCATGATCAGAGCTGAATGATGATAACGGTCACATGATGATTTATGTTGATCACATGATGCACAACTGTTCTTGTTTTATTTTTGTCTTTGTCTGTGATGATGCGTTTCCTGTTGATGATGCGTTTCCTGTCGTTCGTAAGGGAACTCAAATAGAAATGTCCATCGGAGTGACACTCGGAATATCAACAATGGCAGGTATTTACACACACACACACACACACAATAATGCGAATTTAGGGTTTAAGTGTGTAATTTGATTTGTGATTTTCATGAATTTAAAGTCACACTGTAAAAAAGCAGAATCTTTTGTTATATTTCATGCTAAATATGATTGTTGTTGATGATGATAATGAAGATGATGATGATGAAGCGTCTGTGTTTCAGCGGCGGCGCTGGGGAATCTGGTGTCGGATCTGGCTGGACTCGGGTAAATACTGAACTCATGAAACTAGTGTGTGTGTGTGTGTGTGAATTTCTGAATGTGTTTGAACTTGCTGTGTGTTAGTGATGTGAGTATTTGAGTGTGTTTCGGTGTACTCGCTGCATGTGTAAGTGACGTGTGTGTGTGTGTGTGTGTGTAGTTTAGCAGGTTACGTGGAGGCTCTGGCGTCTCGTTTCGGGATGCAGATTCCAGATTTAACGCCCAAACAGGTGGACATGTGGCAGACCAGAGTCACGTCGCACATGGTGAGACACACACACACACTCACACACACACACACACACACTCACACACACACACACACACACTCACACACTCCTGTCTGTGTGTGTGTTCAGGGAAAAGCCATCGGAGTCGCCATCGGCTGCATTCTGGGAATGTTTCCATTGCTCTTCCTGAACGACGATGACGAAGATGAGGAGAAGAAGAAGAAGACGAAGAAGAAGAGTCATCCGACCTCAGAGTGACGCACTTTTATATCGCCGTGACAAGTGCATTTGTTTTGCCAAAGTCTGACAAAAAACAAGCGAATGATCAAACGGTAGACTGAAATGAAGAAATGATCGTAATATAATAGTAGGAAGTAGAAATCTAAAGAATTATCAAGTAGTTTAAAAATCTAAAGATGAAGAATAGATGCATGAGTTTAATTTTATCTCTCTTCGTCACGTAACACTATTTTACACCAGAGAACGATAACTATAATCACTACGAGAATCTGGAAGTCCTCGGCACAACTGTAACATTACGAATATCGCAAGAATCCAGCTGATGAACGACAGCCAATCAGAATCCAGGGCCAGTGAACGATACGAATATGAACGGCCAATCAGAGTCCCTCCTGCTTCAAACAGAAGTTAGTTGTATGTTTCACAGGAATAAACCGGAAAAGAACAGAATCAAAGTTAATAATCATCCGCTGATCTAGTTATCGTTCTGGTGTGAACGGGCTTTACTCTTTTACTCTTTTACCCGTTTAGATTTTAGCAGCATGTGTTTCGTGTTTAAGTTTATTATTGGTTCTGTTGGGAGATGATGATCTGTCTGAAACAGAAGTGTTTCTGAACCTCTCGAACTCCTGAGCAAACTGGAACGCACAAGAGCTTCCGCACACTCCCATCATGCATCTGGCTCATGGAACGGAAGCTCATTGGCCCGTTCGGTAGTGATGTCAGGTCACATGATGAACCCGGAAGATCTCCGCTAGAGCGATGTATTCATTCGTCGAAACCAAAACTATAAAAAACTTAATTTATAATCTTAAAAATAAATAAAATATTACAAAAACTAATTATTTCAGCATTTTTAAATAAAACTTGCTTGAAGTACTAAAGCTTGTTTTCCGCAACAGAATTAAAAATAAAAAGGTGATTGCGACATTTTATCTCTGAATTTCCTGAGATTATGAATGATATGAGTTATGACTCATAATTATCATTTCAAACTGTTTTATTCAGGGGCGGAAACGAGCTTCAATTTCTAAAGTAACTAAAACTAATTACACTAAAACTATACAGCCATATTTAAAACAACGAGCAACACTCACACAGCATTTATTACATTTAATCTGTTGTATTTGCCGAGCTTAACGATGAAAAGCTTCAGCAGATTTAATAAATGCTGTAAAATGATAGTTCATGATAATAACTCAGCTCAGCTATAACGAACAAAAATGATTAAAACGCACTCTAAACGACTAAAACGGAATCGCTTACACTTTATTTAAGGTGTCCTTGTTACAGTGTAATTATATATTTAAGGTTAGTGCATCATTTATAGTTATTACTGTCGCAGGACACCAAAAAATCTAATCAAAATATTACCAAAAACTGCAATAGTGCGTCACGGGCGGAGTCGAGGCCTCCATCAGGTCCTGTAGCAGATGAACATGAGTCTGATGCAAAGATGTCTATTACTTTATGAATAGAAATACCTCTGGAATTAGTCGTTTAACCATCAACTGACTTCTGGGTAATCCATAAATCAACGCGCCCCAGAAACACATCAGGCATGCTTATTATTGGACACTATGCATTCTGATAACTCGTGTGTGTGATTATTGCACAGCCGCCTGTTCTACCGCAGATATTTTACAGTATTTTGCTAATTCTATGATTATTTTTGTGAGACGACGTGGAATATTTGTACTTTTATAAATTCATTTGTCGCACAAACAAACTATTGAAGTGAAAAGTACAAGTTCTGTTCATAAATATTGATGTTATTTGTGCGTTTGAGAACATGTCATCGTAAAGTTATGGTGTTTTAACTGGTTACTCTTCGGATGAAATACACGTAACACTTTACAATTATGACAGAACATTTATTAATCTTAATTTCAACATCAATCGAAAATATGATTGAATGGACCTGAACTAACAGCTGTGTTTATTAACTAACGTTAAGATTACTAAATAACGTAACGGATGAATTGCTGGTAGTTAACGACTAACTAACGACTCTTATTGTAAAGTGTTACTGAATTATACGGAGTTTTCACACTGCAACTGATTTCAATAAAATGCCTTTATTGACAATATAAAAACCACACTGCATTATTATCATTATTATGTACAGTCTGTATGATCTCGAACACTGCAGAGGGGAACGGGTGAGTTAACCAGGTGTGTGTGTTCAGAAATAAACGGGTCAACATCTCTGCTACATCATATCGATAAAACAACACAGATGTCCAGCCTATCACTCTTAAACATTAATTACAGTTATTAAACGTAACCCTCTATCCTCCGAGCACTCCTTCCCTCTGTTCCCATCCGGAGAACTAAACGTCTTTGACAAAAAACACAATTTTCTCAGTTTTAAGCTCAAAACTTTCAATTTTGTCATTATGCAATAATGCACGTCATTCGCTCTTAAAGTGACAGCAGCCAATAAACACATACTGCTGTCTGTGTCATTAATATTCATAAAACAACAAAAACAGCGTAAAGATGAATTTATATTTAATGTACACAGCGAACGCCATTGTGTTATTTTACATTTAATAATTTCTGTACCCGAATACTGCTGCTAGACCTTCCTTTATCTCGTATTTGTTATTTTAGTACTGGCTGTTATCTTGTTTTTAATAATTTAATTATTGGTATTTTTGCTGTGTTATCAAAGTACTTGAAAATTAATCAAATTGCTTCACAAAAAGTTTTATGATCTGATCCGTGAGATTATTGACAGCCAATCAGAATCTATCACTGATTACCAATAAAAACATTGACAGCCAATCAGAATCAATCGCTGATGAATGATAAAAATGTTGACAGCCAATCAGAATAAATTAATTATTTAATTGATGACGAACAATAAAAAACATTGACAGCCAATCAGAATTAATCGCTGATGAATGATAAAAATGTTGACAGCCAATCAGAATAAATTAATTATTTAATTGATGATGAACAATAAAAACATTGACAGCCAATCAGAATTAATCGCTGATGAATGATAAAAATGTTGACAGCCAATCAGAATAAATTAATTATTTAATTGATGACGAACAATAAAAAACATTGACAGCCAATCAGAATTAATCGCTGATGAACGACAAACATTGACAGCCAATCAGAATGAATTAATTATTTAATTGATGATGAACAATAAAAACATTGAGAGAAAATCCGAATCCATTGCGGATGAACGATAAAAACATTGACAGCCAATGAAAACCCATCGTTGATGAACGATGAAAACATTGACAAGGATCTTCATCGGTGTTCTGCAGATGAACGAAAGTCTGGCGTAACTGATGACGTCACTGTCCCTTTAAGAGCGAGTTTGGGGAATCTGCCTTTACGCGAGCGTTTCCTCTTCCAGTAACGAGTAATCGTCGTGTTCCACCTTCACTGGTCCGGCAGCATCGCTGAGCTCCTGCTGATAGTTCGCCGCGCTCGACGTCTGCTGGCAGCGCGCCTGATGCTTGAGGAAGCTGTCCCGCCACACGATCTTCTTCCCGCAGAGCGCGCACTCGTACGGGCGCAGGCCGCCGTGCGTCTTCACGTGTTTGGTCAGGTGGTGCTTCATCTTGAAGCTCTTGGCGCAGACGGGGCAGGCGAACGGGCGCAGGTTCAGGTGCTGCATCTTCACGTGCCGGTCGCGCATGCTCTTCAGCGTGTACGCTTTCCCGCAGTGACAGAAGTGGACTTTCGGCGTCGCAGAGAGAGGAGAGCAGGGAGGATTCTGGGAAACCGTCGCGTTCGCAATCGCATCCAACGTTTCGTCGTCCTCGTCGTCTTCGTCCACCGACGGCCACTCGCTCTGCCACAGGCTCTCTCCGAGACGCCCGTCCGACTCCACGACTCCTGAGAGAAGAACACAAACACAGTCAGAAACAGCGCGGTGGCGCCCCCTGGTGGACGGGTGCTAAACGGCAGTGATGAAGAAGCTCCACTCACCGGCCTGGCGCTCCTCGCTCTTCATCCTCAGTTTATCCTCGTCCTCCGCCGGCTCTCCGACGCCTTCATCTGCCTCCACCCGCCGCTGCTCCTCTTTCGCTCCTCGGAGCCGAACGCGGATTCGGTGTCTCGCGGCGAAATCCGTTTCGATGGATGGAAGAGGCGGGTGCGGATCCGGCCCACACTCGGGCTCGGTCCGTAGAGGAAACGTTAGGCTGCTTCGGCTCCACCGGCTCTGCTGAGGGCGCCTCCATGTGGCCAGAGGCGGGAGCGCACGTTTCTCCGCGGCGTGTTCGCCCGGCGGGTCCGACGGGTCGGGGAAGCAGCAGTCGGAGCTGCTGGGCGACTGATGGCTCGAGGAGCTCGCCACGCCCGGGCTGACCTGCGCTAGGGGTCGTGACCTCTTGAGGATGTCCGTGCACTTGTCCACGATGTGCCACATCTGGAGAAAGCTGGCCACGGTGACGTAATTGATGATGTCGTCGCGCACGATGCTGAGCTGCCCGGTGTAGGCGGAGTTCAGGACGCTCTCGAAGGCCAGCGGGTCCATGACCGAGGGAAGAGACACCGTGGTGACGTTCTTCAGCAGAACCTGGACACAGGCAGAACCGAGCGCTGAACGACCAGATCCAACAGACACATTCTTAAAGAGATAGTTCACCCAAAAATGAAAATGAGCCCATGATTTACTCTACCTCAAGCCATCCTAGGTGTATGATATTCTTCTCTCAGATTAACACAATCAGAGTTATATTAAAAAATGTCCTGGCTCTTCCAAGCTTTATAATGGCAGTGAAGTGCATCTATCCATCATAAAAGTGCATCTATCATCATAAAAGTGCATCTATCCATGATAAAAGTGCATCTGTCCTTCATAAAAGTGCATCTGTCCATCATAAAAGTGCATCTGTCCATCATAAAAGTGCATCTGCCCATCATAAAAGTGCATCTGTCCATCATAAAAGTGCAACTGTCCATCATAAAAGTGCATCTGCCATCATAAAAAGTGCATCTATCCATCATAAAAGTGCATCTGTCCATCATAAAAGTGCATCTGTCCATCATAAAAGTGCATCTGCCCATCATAAAAGTGCATCTATCCATCATAAAAGTGCATCTGTCCTTCATAAAAGTGCATCTGTCCATCATAAAAGTGCATCTGTCCATCATAAAAGTGCATCTGTCCATCATAAAAGTGCATCTGCCATCATAAAAGTGCATCTATCCATCATAAAAGTGCATCTGTCCTTCATAAAAGTGCATCTGTCCATCATAAAAGTGCATCTGTCCATCATAAAAGTGCATCTGTCCATCATAAAAGTGCATCTGCCCATCATAAAAGTGCATCTATCCATCATAAAAGTGCATCTGCCATCATAAAAGTGCATCTATCCATCATAAAAGTGCATCTGTCTTCATAAAAGTGCATCTGTCCATCATAAAAGTGCATCTGTCCATCATAAAAGTGCATCTGTCCATCATAAAAGTGCATCTGTCCATCATAAAGTGCTCCACATGGCTCCGGGGTTAATAAAGGCCTCATGCATCATGCAGTTTGAAAGACTTTAAAGCAGAAACCGCCATTCTCTGCCATTATAAAGCTTGTAAGAGCATTCAATTTTCTCGTATAGTGTTCTAATAGTGTATGATTTAATACCAACAAGTTACATCAAGGGTCAAATAAAACATACTGTTCAACTGAATGTTGAAACCATTGTGTTTCTACCTATGTCGTACAGGTCGGGTGTAAAGAATATTTTTGCTCAGGTGGCGAAAGATGTCCGTCCAATAGAAAAACGTTTTGCTCAGCATAAAAAAAATTAGAGGGAACATTGGTGGTACTGAGTAATATTCATTAATAACATGCACTTACTATAGGGTTAGGGCAGGATTAGGGTTCGGTTGAGGGTAGTTATGCACAATTTACTGTTATTACTATGGGAAGTACATGTAACAAGGACACTGTCAAAAAGTGTTACCACATGTGATGTTGGTGGAGGGCCCTGGATCCTCTGACCTTGATGACATCATCAGTTCTGCTACCAATGTCAGAAACCTTCACCAGTTATTGTGCATTTGAAACTATTTTTAGCATTTGAATAATATTATAGCACTAGTGTTGCGACATTGTCTCCACCCAGATCACAAAAATATGATCTAAGTCCAGTTTGAAACGTTCCCATAATAACGTTATTTTCAAATGTTCTGTGAACGTTCCAAATGTACATTTAAAAAAATGATATGCCACTGTTACGGAAACGTTCCATTTTAATTTATTTAAACTTTATCAGGATGAGTTTTGAATGTTCTCCGAACATTCTAAAATAAGTTGGAACATTTTAAAAATGGAATTCTGAAAAACGTTCCATTTGTGCTGACGTCATAACTTTGAACGAGCGTTCTTAGGAGAACGTTTGCAGGGCAGGTCGCGAGGGATCATGCAAGGTTTCAAATCAAACAGACATTAATATGCAAATGAGAGGGTTTGCATGTGTGTGATGTGACATCAGTTCCACACACACACTCACCTGGTCATGGAAGTACGGGGAGGATGCGGCCAACACACACCTGTGCGCGCGGAACACGTGACCCTGCACCTGTATGGACAGGTCACACAGCTGACCCTCCTCGCGCTGCCGGTTCAGGTTCTCCAGAACCGCGGCGCGCGCGCTCGGGAAACACACCTGCAGAACCGGGCCCGGGGGCGCGCTTGCGCGACCGAGGATCTGCTCCATCCTACCGGGGAGAAACCGAATCTGATCCGGGATCAGCAGCACAACTCGTGCCTAACACCCGTTTATTCCGGTAGTGTTCGGTGTTAGGCCCGCTAGCAGATCATAACATTATCATATGAGAGCTTCTGATCATGTGTTTACATCACATGCGGAAACGATCTGCGCGATTCAACCGTTGGACACGCGATCTGCGAGTTTAACTACCGTGTGTATAAAAAAATGATGATTATGATCCCTTGATCGGTTAAAATGAAATATGAATGTGTTTATAATCTCACCAGCGTTTACTGTGATGAAGGTCTGCTGCGGAAGAGAGAGACACGCCCCCTCTCCGAGACCCCGCCCCTTTTAAAACCACAGTGCTTAGATATTCATATTCTTCATAAATGCTTTGGTTTGTGAGTGTGTGTGTGTGTGTGTTCACAGTGATAACGACAACATATTTTTTTATTATGTTAGTGTCTCACATTAATGGAATTAAGTGGCTAAATAAATATATAGAATAGAATCGTCATGTGACTGCTACTGTGAGCCAATCCTGCTACAAAGGATCTCGGAATCATGAATAGTAATTACGTGAAGCCCATGACGTCATTGTGCGTAAGCTAATTGATATTCATGAGCGGAGCAGTACTGCGGTCCGCGCGCGCCACCTGCTGGTGACTGGAGCTCACAAAGCTGCAGGAAAGAGCATTAAAAACATCAAACGTTAAAAATGATTTGCAATGTAAAAAAGAATGACGTTCACAACTCTGATAAACCATAATCAAATTAATAACATCATGCTAGTTATCTCTCTGAATAACTTATTAGTAGAGAGCACGGTGATGCATGAAAGGTATTTTAATAGGTAATTAACTTTAGTTAAAAGAATTTATAGAAGTGTGTGGAATGTGTAAAAGAATGTATATATTTCAAAATCATATTGTACCGTAAATACTTGTATTTGGTATTAAATGGGACCTAGTTTGAAGGGAACTCCCTGTTTATTACAGTTAATGATCATATTGTGTGTTTCAGTGAGTTTTGATGGGGCTGCACCTGCGGGAGCGTCGTGACGTCACCGCGGGTTCAGGTTGCGTCGCGCGCGGCGCGCGGCCCGTGATTTTTACCGCAATGCATCAGAACTGAGCGAACGCGTGAACGAGCCTCTCAGAATGGCGTTTAAACCCGACAGATGAGCGAGACCCGATCATAAACATCAGGTTAATGCTTAAGGATTAATCCACGCGAGTCACAGGCAAGTTCAGATCTGTGTGCATGCGTGCAGTGAGGATGCGTTCATGCTCAGGGATGGAAATATATTCATAAAGGAATGTGCGTGCGTAGCGTGTGTTTATTCGGATACACGTCAATCATGCACAGAAATAAACGATGTAAACAGAGGAATGAGTGTAAGTCTGATGTTGTCTGTGTTTCTCTGGCGTGTTTTCACACACCAAACATCTTTCAGAGCCAAACTGATGCTGGTCTAGTGTTCTTCAGGAGTCCATTACATCCGCGGGACGGGGCCCTTCAGAACCTCAGAACATGAAGACCCGTCACTGTGGACTCTAAAGCCCACGATAGAGAGAGAATCACGGTCCAGCTCAGTGTCTGTCTTCTGTGAGCATCATGGACATGTGTGTGAGACGTCTGCTGCTCCTGTGTGTGTTCTTCACGGTCTCAGGTGAGTCTGACTCTGACCTACAGGGGTCCGGGGCCTTCGGGTATTAACAGGGGTCCGGGGTCCTCAGGGAGTAACAAGGTTACGGAGCTCTCAGAAATGACAAATATATATATATATTTTAATTTCTATAAAAAAGCTCAAATATTTAATAAAAATAAAATGATGTAAAAATAAATTAATTTTTTCAATCGACGTAATTTTTGTATTCAATATTTTATGTTTTTACTTGGATTAAATATTGATTATTTTAATCATTTTAAAAACATATTTATTATTTATTTAAAAGAATTTGTATTTACATTTATTTTAATATTTTTATTTTATTTAAAAAATGTTTAAAAAAATATTACATTTGATGAAAATTAATACATGCATACAATTAGATGTAAAAAAAACAACCTTTTTTAAAATAATACATTTAGCAGAAATGTATACATTTCTAAATTATTTTTCATTTAAATAACTCATGTGACTGCAGTACTGTTGATTAGAAAATAATGCAATGATGGAACATAATATAAACTGATATTTTCCAAATAACAAATATCTGAGGTGTTGTCAGTATGAGTTTGATGTTTCCTCTTGAGAATATGAAGCTGCTGGTGTGTGTGAGTATGACCTGTGTGTGTGTTTGTGCAGTGTCCGTGTGTAGCGGCGCATGCGCAGAGGTGGACTCGGACACCGAGGCCGTCGCGGGACAAGTCTTCAAGCTCGGATGCATTTCCTGCAAGATGCGCGGGGAAGTGGAAGCCACGGCCACCGTAGACTGGCACTTCCGGCCGCGCGGACAGGACGAGTTCACCCACGTGAGCGTTTGAACTAAATAATTACATCTGATTGAAATAAGAAATGGTTCAAAATAAATATTTGATTTAAATGATTAGATTTAATTAAAATTAATACATTAAAATAAATACTTAAATAATAAATTAATTGATTTACTGTAAAATAAGATTAAATTAAAATTGTACGTAAAAAAATCAAACGAAATATTCAGTTTAAAATAAATGAATAATTGATTTAAATGAATAGATTTACTTTAATAAAACAAATACTTAAACAATCAATGAATACATTAAAAAAATAAACACAATTTCAGGTACACGAATAAAAACATTTCATTAAAATAATGAATGGTTTAAATAATAATTAATTAAAAGTAATTAAAATGTAAAAGTTATTTTGAATAAAAACAAATTAATTTAAGTAAATAAATGAAAACGCATAAAAAAACATTTAATTAAAATAAGTTTAATTCATTAAAAATAATAAATTGATTAAATTAATTTATTTAAATAAATGTAATTTAGATGAATAAATTAATTAAAATAAACAAACTGTATTCTTATAAATAACTAAATACAAATGGATTTAAATGAATAATTATTAATGTAACAAAAATTTAAATAATCACTATTATATATATTTAAACAATCAAAACATGATTAAAATAAATGAATACAAATAAAATGTAAAAAAAAAACTTTTCTGTTTGTGTGGTGGACAGATTTACAGCTACAACGGAGAGTCGTCGGACATCATCGACGAGCGTTTCCAGGACCGGATGGAGTGGTTCGGCAGCAGGAAAACCTTCGACCTTCAGGACGCGTCCGTCAACATCCTGAACGTGACCTTCAACGACACGGGCGATTACCAGTGCATCTTCAACCGCATCCTGAGCTACGAGCACTACGAGTACTCCACCGTCGTCAGCAAGCTGGTGCACCTCACCGTCGTGGCCAAGGGTACGCCGTCACCATGACCTGTCCTGCATGACCTTTGGAGGCCCGCTCCAGGTGTTTCTGGTGAAAGAGCAATCTGCACATGGAGCCACTTTTAGATCCTCAAATCTCTGAAAGTGAGCTATGTGGAGCCTCAAAATGTTAGATGCAAAAAGAAAAGTTTGGTAATAATTGGCACTTTGAGATATCTGTAATACTTCTTAAGTTACAGACACGCAAACTTTGGAAAAAGACTATTTCTGTCTCTCTGACAGGTTTTTCCTATGCGATTGTTTTACTGGAGGGAAGCCAAACACATTGCTCTTTGAACGCAGTCAGTATCACTAATCAAGTACGAGATCAGCTGTGTGCAAAGTGGCTTTCACAAATCGAACAATTTACTCCTGGAGCCGCATTGAGATCCGCATATCTGTAGAACTGAACCATGTAGAGCCTTAAAAATGAACATACCAAAAGAACAGTTTGTTAAGAACCAACATCTAAAAGGACATCGAGATATCTGTAATATTACTTGAGTTATAGACACACAAACTTGGGAAAAAAACATGATGAAAGGGCTTTTTTCTCATCTTTGAGCCGTCACCGTTGGCATATAATGCAACAAAGATGAATAAAGTCAACATATTTTACTAATAGAGCGACTGATCTCTGTGCGAAACTAAAATCATGAAGCTGCCGTCCTTTCTGAAGCCGTTTCCCCCTCCTGTAACTTGGCTCCGAGTCACAGATGAGAAATGAAAGTTGACACCCCTCTACAAAACAGATTACTCTATTTCATTCCTATCTGTTTGTCTTTCTTCAGAAAATATATTAACAAAAATATTTACAAAAAGTGTGTGTGTGTGTGTGTGTGGCAGCCACCCGCGGGACGGCCTCCATCGTGTCGGAGGTGATGATGTACGTGACGATCATCGGGCTGCAGCTCTGGCTGCTGGTGGAGATGATCTACTGTTACAGGAAGATCGCGGCGGCGGGAGAGGAAGCTCTGCGAGCGAGCGCGTGAGTGTCGCAGTCGAAGGACATCACACACCCGCGCAGCGCGACGCCAGAGCGCTCTGCTAGCTTTAGCCTGACGCAGTTTTCATTTTCACGACCTGCGACACGTTGTTTAAACACACAGGAACACGCAGCACCACACAAACATGCCAAATATGAAATAAAAGATTATTGTTGTGTACATAAAGATATGGTAGCTTTAACCTCGAGCACTAGCATATCCGTTTCCTCGCTAGAGAAGCGTTTAGTCTTTTCGCTTGCTAATTCCTCCTTATAAATAGCGAATCCGCCATGACGTGAGCGCAACTGGCTTTAAAGAGAATGGCAGATGAGACTCTGATTGGTTTATTGCACGTTATGCCCGAAACACACGCATTACTCATTAAGAGAATAGAGACGACCCGTTTAGACCAGTGCCGGGAGCGCCGACCATTTGTCCCGTCGTTAAACCTAGCAGAAGTGGATTAAAACGCGCACTTACTGAACTTGTGCCATGCGCTTTAGACCGTTAGCTTAGATCGCTAAAATAGGGCCCTATAACTTTAAACCGGCAGATCAACAGGATATTTGTATAGTAAAGTCATTCGTCACCATCCGACATTATTTGTTAATGCATTAGCTTATTTTAAAATGTTGCCTAATATCTTAACATCTTCATGCCTTAAAGTCGCATTTATCAGATTCGAGAGACGGACGATCATATAGTTACATTTTGTGATGGTCATACTAAAAGCGCACGTCGTTAAATACGGGCTCTCGTCGCAGAAGTACGGGCTTATTATTGCAGAAGCAAAGACTTAAACCTGAACTCGTTGTGTTGCGTTTGTGTTCTGTGTTGCAGAGCGGAGTATTTAGCCATCGCACCTGAGGGCAAAGACAACTGCGCCGGTGTGCAGGTCGCAGAATAACACAGGTGAGATAACTAGCAGCGACGGCTCTGTTTACGCCACACACAAACACAACTTATAATGGCTTGTCTGAAAGCATGTTGCTATTATGATTTGGCATTCTGTTATCATTTTTAACATATTAATAAGCATGTATTAACATGTTGCTAATGTTTTAGCACATTGTTAGCATGTTGCTATCATGAATTAACATGTTTAGCACATTGTTAACATTAATTAGTATGATCCAAACATGAATTAGCACATTTCTTGTTTTAGCATGTCGATAGCATGAATTAGCATGCTGCTAGCATTTTTCAACATCCTGCTACCATGTTTTAGCACATTGCTAACATGTTTTAATACATTGTTAGCATGAATTAGCATGTTGTTGACAACTTTAACCACATTGCTACATTATGTATCATGTTGTTAATATTAATTAGCACTCTTCTTGTATGTTTTATCACATTAGCAGGATTTAACACGTCACTATCAGGTTTTTCAGCACATTGCTAGCATGATTTAACATATTTTTAGCACAAATTAACATGTTTACATGAATAAGGACTTTTCTAGAATGATTTAGCATGTTGTTAATATTATATAACATTTTGTTAGCATGATGGTAGCATGGTTTTAACACATTGTTAGCTTAAATTAGCATGTTGCTAACATCAATTAACATGGATTAGCATGTTCTAAGAACGCTTTGTTGATGTTCCCATTAACTTATGAAAACTTTTGTATGAAAGTAAAAAAAAAATGTCCAGTTTATTAAATTATTATTATTTTTTATTTTTTTTTGTCTTGGTCATGTGAACGTTAAGGGAACATTACATTGTTTAATTCTTTAATCATTATGGAACGTTCCTTTTGAATGTTCTCTGAACTAAAACATCTCTGAGAAAACGCTCCATGATCGATGTATAGTAATGTTTTTGTGCATGTTCTGTTTTGTTGCCGTAAGAAGGTTTGTTGGTTCTGGCGAGAGAAGGTTAGCTAGCGCTAGCTCCAGAGCAGAAACGCTGCTGACTCACACGTTGTTCTGGTTTCTGCAGGATTTTCCCAGGAGCCTCTCCTGAACTGCTGCCACTCACTCCTGTTTTATCCGCTGTTGTTCCTGACGATCGATCCCGTGTTCCGCATGATTCCTCACGCTATGCATGAACCGAACGCTCTCCTGAGAACTCACTGCATTATTCCTCCTCGCTCATTGACAAGCGCAATACTCTGAGTTTGCACTAGAGGTCAGTAAAGAGCAAGGAATCGCTGCTGATCAAGGCCAAACACACACATTCACAGACACACCTACTCACACACACACCTACTTACTCTCACACTCACACACACACACACATATATTATAGTGACTGGAAGATGATCTGGAAGCCGATGCTCTGCTGAAACTGCATGAGTAAAAAATGTGAATCTGAAGAAACTTCCTTTATATACGTAATAATAATTAACCATCCTGATAGAGTTTATCAATCATATCTGTATAATGTGGTGCAATATGACAATAAACCCTAGTTCTCCAATGTAGCAGAATTATGTTAAAGCACTGAAGTGAGAGAGAGCGAGAGAGAGAGAGAGAGAGATGGGGGAGGAGGGAGAGAAATAGAGAGAGAGAGAGAGAATGTAAATTAAACGAGTTGAAATGAATCTTGTCGACTGTTTGATTGTTTGTTTGTTCACATTATTAATGCATAAATCGACAGGAACGATGAACGATGCTTTTCGTCAAACATGACAGGACATAAAACCAAACTACATGAAATATAATTTAACATAACATAATATTTCTTAATGAGCATTACACTGACAAAACTAAAGAATTATTTATATGATTACTGTTATGATTTGCTATATTTTTGCATATTTTCTGTAAGCATGAAAGTCTGTTTTACACGAGATTGTACTGAAACGATCTGATGTTTATGATGATCATGTGACTCATGTGGAATTAAACTGCTTTTGTTGAAAAATCTGTGCTGTTACTGTAGTTCACTGTAGTTCACTTTACTTTACTGTAATTCACTGTACTTTACTGTAGCTCACTTGTACTGTAGATTATTGTAGTTCACTGGAGTTCACTAAACTTTACTGTAGTTCACTGTACTTTACACTAGCTCACTTGTAGTTCTCTGTACTTTACTGCAGTTCACTGTAGATTACTGTAGTTCACTGTACTTTACACTAGCTCACTCTAGTTTACTGTAGTTCACTGTACTTTACACTAGCTCACTTGTAGTTCACTGTGGTTTACTGTAGTTTATTGTAGTTCGTTGGACTTTACTGTAGTTCACTGTACTTTAATGTAGGTCACTGTACTTTACTGTAGTTTACTGTAGTTCACTGTACTTTAATGTAGCTCACTGTACTTTACTGTAGTTTACTGTAGTTCACTGTACTTTACACTAGCTCACTTGTAGTTCACTGTGGTTTACTGTAGTTTATTGTAGTTCGTTGGACTTTACTGTAGTTCACTGTACTTTAATGTAGCTCACTGTAGTTTACTGTAGTTCACTGGACTTTACTGTAGCTCACTGTACTTTACAGTAGTTTACTGTAGTTCCCTGGACTTTACTGTAGTTTGCTGTAGTTTACTGTAGTTCCCTGGACTTTACTGTTGCTCACTGTACTTTACTTTTAGTTCACTGGAATTTACCGTAACTCACTTTACTTTACTGTATCTCACTGTACTTTACTGTAGTTCACTGTAGTTTATTGTAGTTTACTGTAGCTTGCTGTACTTTAATGTAGTTTATTTTACTTTACTGTAGCTCACTGTACTTTACTGTAGTTTACTGTAGTTCTCTGTAGTTTACTGTAGTTGACTGTACTTCACTGTAGTCTACTGCAGCTTGCTGTAGTTCACTGTAGTTTTCTGTAATTTACTGTACTCTACTGTAGTTTACTGTACTTTTCTGTAGTTTGCTGTAGTTTACTGTAGTTAAACGAGTTGAAATTTGTAGTTTATTGTAGTTCCGTGTAGTTCACTGTAGTTTACTGTAGTGTTAAGGATTATTGATCACCTGGAAATATAAACCCCTCAAATCTGAGACAAGTATATATTTTTATGAAAACACCAAATTAATACTGTGAAAATATATAAATGTGTAAAATACTATTTATTTTTATTTTTATTGTTTCATACTTCTGTACTGTTATGATTTTTAGACTAGAATTTATTTCAAACAAGTTGTATTTATTCTTTATCAACTTATTTATTTAATCGTTTTATATTAATTCATTTTAATCAAATGCTTTTCTTTAGTTATTTATTTGTTAATATCAAATGTATTTATTTTAATTCATTTTTTATTATTTTAATCAAAACTTATTAAAACTTCAAAAATCTAAACTTTAATCAAAACATTTTTCAAAATTCTAAATTTATAAAAAAAATGATTAAATGTAATTTTTTTCATTGTGTTTTTTAATAAAATAAATGTATTTATTCATATTTATTTACATCCAATTTTATTTATTGCTATTAATGCATTTATTTTTCTCAATTTGAATTAATTTATTATTGTTTGTATTTTATAATTATTTTATTAATTTATTTATTATTGTTATATTCTATGATGTATTTGTACAGTTTTTCTCTAGACTTGCAGCCTCAAATATCACTCTGACCTCAGGTGAATGACATCATCCTCCTCCAGGAAGTGATGCGTTTTGGAGGGAAAACAGCTGCACACCCTGTTGTTATTCTTTCTGTTTAGAGAAACCTGAAACTTCTTTACATTTATTTTGGAACTGCTCACTCACACTGACATTTCGGTGTGACGTTTGTGATTTTATCAAATGTTATGTGACTCCTAACTTTGAATTTACGTTTAGAAATTTAATTTTTGGTTTTCATGAATGTGAAAAGAACAGTGATATTTATTTTATAAACTTTATTTTTCTGTTAGCTAAATTTTCTAAACGCGATCCTCTTTTTTTTAAGATTTAAACTTGAAATGTAAATGTATTTTGAATCGATTGAGTTCTCAAAAACAAGAACAGTGGCTGTGTTTAAGGACTTGGCACTTAATCTGGATTAAAAAAAACTGAAGGAACTTAATCTGGGGATAAAAACACAAAAAACACTGCTGTTATTTGAGGAATTCTGGGATATTTTGTGGTGGTTGTTGGTTTGTGTGGACTCTAATAGATGATGATGATGATCCTATTAATTTAATTACATATTTACATAAATACACATAGTTTGTTATGATACTATTTCATTAAAATAATGAAAACTGAATAATAATAACAATATTTAAAATGATTTAATAATTAAATATAATTATTTAATTATAATCATTTAAATATAGATTTTTCACAGTAACTAAATGGCAATTTAATTTAAAATTTTTAAATTATTATAGTTTTAATATTTCATGAAATGAAATAAGATATTTATAAATAAATAGAAATAAGCTTTATTTTACAGAAGCTAGGAACTGCGTTTTAATTTAATATTTATATAAATATTTTTAGTTTAATTTTTTAGTAATAATAATGTATAATTATAAGTAAAATCATTTTTAATAATATTTTTTTCAGTTTAACTCGACGTTATTAATTGATTGTGATTACTTACTGAGAAATAGCTAGATAGAATAGCAGATTTCTATATCTACCTTCCATAACTAGAAAAATGTGTAATTATAAAAATAAAAAAAATTCCATGACTTTTTAAGAATTTAACACACTTTCATGAGTTTTCCAGGACTAGAAATCACACTTTTAATACTCTCACTCTTATATCCCGGTCTTCCATGAGAAGATTCACTGAAATAACAAGATGTGATCATAAATGTGTGTTGATCATCAGATCCTCATATTAGAGTGATTTCTGGAGGATCATGTGACACTGAAGACTGCGTAATGATGATGAATATTCAGCTTTGATCACAGGAATAAATTACTCTACTATGATATTATAATGATATTGACAATTTATTGGAGTTCCAGTGGATCCACTTCATCTCCACAGGGCAACTTTCTGACTAACTTCTCACTGGTTCTAAATCAGTTCGGGCTCGATCAGTCCACTCACTCATTGGGTTCGGGCCCGGTATCGATTACTCACTCATTGGACCGCGCCGTGCCGGGTGCGCGCGCCCGTGCGCGTTCCCGTGTGCGTGCCAGTGCGCGCTTGCGTTCGGTGACGGGAGCGCAAAGTGATCAGCGGATCTTTTCGATCATCATTCAGATCAATAATAGTAGTATAATAATAATTATAATAATAGCACCGTGCGTGCGTGCGCGCGCCTCGCGTCAGAGAGCTGTGCGTCATTTCTCTCCTTTATTTTTGAATGTTGTCGCGCTGGAGGAGTGATGATGGATCCTCTCAGAGCGAGCTGATCACGGTCAGTGCCGGAGGATCATGTCCTATGTGTCTTCACAAGGTAAGAGTTATAATCGATCATCTGATCGGCTCCGATGATCACTGATCAATGCGGGCTCGCGCTGGCCGGCAGATGATTGACAGCTCTCACTCTGCAGCCCCGCGATGCCTTTACATTCACATGATCGATAATCCACCTTCCGCGTGAGAGTCCAATCATTGCGATCGATAATCAGTATGAATAGTTGAGCTCAGAAACAGCAGGTTTATTTATAGACTCCCGAACCGAACCGAGTCAGGAGCGGCCCGCGCGCGCGCACGAGGGAGAGCTTCCGGAACACGCGCGAGAACATCAACACAAATTCTCACACTGAGAATCACAAAATTATTTTAATGTTAACTGTAAAATCCTATATCGGTGCTCGGTTGTTAACAGTGCAGGGAAAACTGTCATAAATCTAATGTAACTGTACAGTGAATCACTATAGCGGTTAGCCTACATCTACCATCTTTAGAGCTTAAAAAGAACCCTATAATTTACATTGAAATGCCATTCCCAGAATTCCCTGTGTTTGATGGTTGTTAATAGGCATAATTCTGTTTCTTCTTAGTTTATTTTGATCAGTTATATACATTAGGGTTTCATGTTGATAAATGAATGCATATTTGAGTGTCCATGATGGTGTTTGGTGTTGTTTAGTGCAGATGATCAGATGGATGTGTATCAGACATGATGTGACGAGCGTCAGTCGTGCCACTGTGAATCTCAAGAGGTCATTTACATTGAGCTGGAGGAGTTTCAGAGAGCGTGTTTAAATGTCATGCTCTCCTGTCTGCCGGACTTCTGTCTGTAAAGTGAGTTTATTCAGAACGAAACAGTTTGGTACTTTATTATATATCATCAGTGTTTCAAACAGTAATACAGGAAAATAACAGAATCATGATGCAAACTTCATCAAATATGAGACAAGCTCAGATTCAGGAATGAAGCAGCTTTACAGAAGATGGAAGAGTCGTTTTTCAGATCAGCTCAAGTTTTGTTCTCATCTGCATTTGATTCTATCAATTACAACATTCTTTTGAATAGACTTGAAAATTATGTTGGCATTAGTTCGAATTGCACTAACTAATATGGTTAAAATCACACTTATCTGACTGTTATCAGTTTGTAGCAGCAAATGAAGAGATGTCTTAGTGCTCGGCGGTATGACCAAAAATCTATATCACAGAATTTTTCAAAATTATTCTGATCATTTTCGGTATCTGATGTTTTTTTTTTTTTTAAGCATGACTGGGTGTGTTAACCACATTTTATACTGATTGAGAGAGGACATACTGCAGTAGATTGACGCTGTAGGAGTGGCCGAAACATCGGTTTCCATGGTAACGACTGAACACAAAGTGGTTTCCCCGATATCGACTGAACACAAACCAGCGCTCATAAACGCTGCTTTATCAGAATAGACAAAGAAAAAATCAATTGAAATAACATCGAAACTTTTCTAAAGATCATCAGCTCACTTCAGAAACATTCATATAAAAACTCTCATGTCGCGTTTTGACGTTGAAACGTGCACTGCTAACATTTATTCAACAATGTCAATGCCAACCATAAACAGATTTTCCAAAGTGTTGATATTGTGTTGTGGTATTGCGGTATATTAAGATCATATCATAAGTAAAATAAACATTGGAATGGCCAGCACTAAGTCTAATCGATCACAAGTTCAGTATGGCGTACCACAAGGCTCAGTGCTAGGACCGTTGCTGTTCACTCTGTACGCTACCCTTAGGAGATATCAGTATTATTCAGATCAATTCAGTTCAGTGTTGATTGTGTTCTGGTGTGGATCGAGAAGATACTGTTTCATACTTCTGACTACAGAATTTTTGTTGTTGAACTGATGTACTGATTGTTTACTGGTTACTACTTTGAAATAGTTATGTTGAATTAAGTTAATGCACATGCAGATTGTAAACTAACAGCCCAAAATAGTTCTAAGAACGCTTTGCTAATGTTCCCATTTAATAATGGAAGCGTTATGTGTATGTTCTCTGAACGGTCAAAACATCCCGTTTTTAATTTTTTTTTTTTTTTATGAACGTTAAGGGAACATTCCATTGTATCATTCTTCAACGATTATGAGAGCGTTACTTTTAAATGTTTGCTGAACGTTCTGAAACAAGTAGCAACATTTAAAAAATGTTATATACTGTAAACATCCAACTAAAACATTTCAGAAAAAGGCTCCATGAATTATGTATAAATAATGTTTTTGTTCTAACATTTAGAGAACATTATTAAAGACCAGATAACTTTGAACGAACGTTCTATTAATGTTACCGGAAGAACGTTTGTTGATTACTTTGAAACCTTGAGAGAACATTCTATGGAAAAAGATTTTTGTAAATTGTTTTTTCTTTTTAATAACTAAATCGGATGGTCATATCACCATCAGCTTGACTATATCTTCATGATTGTGATCGTGTCTTTGTGACTGTGATCATATCGTCATGATTGTATTGTTATATCTCAGTAACGGCTGTTTAGCCGATGGTGAAAAGCGTTCTGCTCCTGTTGTGTCTTCGTTCTCTAGTTACAATGTATTTCAGGTTTTGTTTCTGGAGTGGTTGAGCGTTTGTCACCAATCACAGACTCTCTGTTCGTTCTGTGCATGAATGCAGTGGGGAAATGTTGAGGTTATATGATGATGAGCAGACCCGTCACTGATGATGCGGTTTAGGCATCTGATCCCCTTTTGCGCGTTTTATTTTTCACTTCTGTTTGCTGTCAGACTAGCACATCTCAGCATTTGTTTTGAAAAGTGTTTATCTTCTAATGTAACAGCAAAATAATTGGTTTGTTTTAGATGTTGAGCCACATTATGACAAAAAAATGTCAGTTTGTTTATTTGAAACTTAATTATCATAATTAAAATATCAAAGGAAATGATTATCAGATTATGATTAGATCACGATAAATATATATATGTTTCGTCGGGGCGCAAAGAAATATAGAGTTGAGTTTCATCAGCATAACAGTGAAAATGAATGCCATGCTTCCTGATGATATCTCCTAAGGGTAGAATGTAGAGTGTGTGTGTTTATATGTGTGTGTGTGTAGCTTGTGAACAGCAGCGGTCCTAGTACTGAGCCTTGTGGTACGCCATACTGAACTTGTGATGGATAAGACATCTCTTAATTTACTGCTACACACTGATAACGGTCAGATAAGAGTGATTTACACCATGCTAATGCAGTTTTACTAATGCCAACATAGTTTTGTAGTCTATTTAAAAGAATGTTGTGGTCAATTGTATCAAATGCATCACTAAGATCGAGTAAAACCATTAGAGAGATCGGATGATTAGAGCAGATCACGTGTGACTCTGATGAGAGCTGTCTCAGTACTACGGTACGGTCTAAATCCGGACTGGAAATCCTCACAGATATCATTTCTTTCTAAAAACGAACACAGTTGTGAGGATACTGTCTTTTATATTTAATATTTATATATAAACAATATGAATGTTAGCCAGAGGAGAACTGGCCCCCGACTGAGCCTGGGTTCTCCCAAGGTTTTTTCTCCATCCAATCTGATGGAGTTTTGGTTCCTCGCCTTGCTTTTGGCTTGCTTAGTTGGGGATATTTACTATTTAATATTTAACAATATTATTGATCTGTGTTGTACTACTTTCATGTTATCACTGTGAAGCTGCTTTGATACAATCTGGATTGTGAAAAGCGCTATATAAATAAATGTGACTTGACTTGACTTTTCGAGATCAGTCTGTAATTCACTAATTCTGTACGATCAAGTTGCGGTTTTTAAATAATAGTTTTTGCTACATAATGACAAACATGAATTGATGATATGGAAGCATCTCTTTCAGTAGTGTAGTCCGTATGGGGTCTAGCATACATGTTGTGGATTTAGATGATTTAACGAGTTTGGACAATTCTTCATCTCCTATTGCATTTGCAATGAATGAGTTTTCCTCAGGGAGACTACACTGCACTGTCTGATGCGACGCTGTAGTAGTATCTACTAGTATCTAGTTATTATAACTACAGTTGCGTATTTATAATTTCCCCGCTAACATTAGAAATCTTGCAAGTAAAAAATGATCATTACTGTCATTACTGCTGGGAAACTTCAGAAGTTAAAGCTTGTTTTCTTGTTGATTTAGTCTCTGTATTAAATAAACACCCAGGATTGTGTTGGTGTTCTTCTAAGAAAGACGTAAATAAGCAGATCTAGCAGCCTCTCTGTACGCAGTAATGCTGTCTTTCCATGAAATACGAGAAACCTCCAGTTTAGTTTTCTTCCAGCTACGCTCCATTAAATGTTATTTTCCAGTTGTTGATCTGTGTATTTGGTGAGTTTTATGTTTATGTAGATGTAGAGTTGATGAATCATCTCATTCATATGTAAAGTCAAATGCCTATAATAAATAAATAAAGTCATATCATGGGCTCTTGTCGAGCTCGGTGTGTCTGACGGCCCGGGTCACTGCTGAACACGTGGCCTGTTCTGAGCGTTTATGTAAGAATCACACATTCGATGCATCAATCACAGACTCGTCTTAAACGCTCTCGTTTCCCATCATCGGCACGGCTGCAGAAAAGGCTTTTAATAATAAACCTGTTTACTGCAGAAGCTGTGTTCCCGCGAGTCTAGCAGGTTAGCTGTGACATTATGGAAATATTGAGGATTGATTTCCAAATCAAGCCAATAACATGTTGACACACTTACAGTAATTTTCTTTATGGAAAAAGATGTGAACTAACTTCTTGATTCTTGTCCATGAATAGCTAAAGGTCGTTCAGGACGAGGATCTGCTCAGCATCGTCTTTATTCATGTTGGTTTCATGGTTTATTATCTTATAGCTTGACTGTCGCTCTGATCTCTGAGAAGCTCAGCTCCATGACTAGATGTTAAATCTGCCTTTCGGTCCTCTTTTGCCCAAAAAACTTTTGTTTTAATGAAGTTTTTGTGCTGCTGATCATTTCTTCTGGTAGTTGACTCATTGAGTTTTCCGACTCTCCATGTTTTCAGTGTTGCACTCTTCATCACACTGAATCTAATGTTCTTATGTTACCATGAATTAGTCTATCAAACGCCATATTAGCATTGAGTAGTCATTCTGATAAGCAGCCAATGCTGCATTAATGACCTTGAGTGCAAAGCTGATCATGACTAAATTAGCCACCGTTCTCAAACCCCAAGAACCGACAGGAACGGCCCGTGGAAAGTGTTCTGGAGAACGTTTGGAAAGCACATGTGTTGCGGGTCCAGCTGCCAGAGGAGGAAGACTCCCACCTACAGGGAGAGAGAGAGGGATTACATCCATCACGGTTGCCACGGCAACGCAGAGTTGGCTCCCTCTTCCAGAATAGTTCTCTCCTCTCATCCCGTTTTCATGCTGTACTCAAACACTTCCATCTGACACCCACCTCTCTGCCTTTCCTTTTCCTCTCTTTCATAATCCCCCTCTCTCTCTCACGCTATATCGGTCGCTTTAAGTCGTTTTTTAGCCCGCTCGGCCGTGGTCGTCATGGTAACAGGCTGGGGGTGTGCGAGCGAGAGAGAGAGAGTGGGCGTCACGGAAGTGACATCTCTTGGGCTGTAACCCATCTTCCTCCCTCTCTCTCTCTCTCTCTCTCTCTCTCTCTCGCTGTGGGGGCGATCGGGACACAAAAGCAAGTGTCAAAATGAGTTTTAAATTTGTCTTGTGTGTGTTTCCATATATGGCGCATTGAGCGCTACTGTGCCGCACCTCCTCATATTCATCCAGATATATGCTTTCCACACATACCGTCCTCGAAGTGTTTGAGTCATGTGACCCATGTTGGCCTAGAGGTCGTGACCTCACCACTTTTAAAATCATACGTCATCATTTTAACGTCATCTATTGAATTTATTAACTGTTGTAAAAATGTGTCCCGCCTGCTTCATCTTTGATTAAAACTGCCTTATTGTTACTGTTAACCAGCTATAAACGAACTAGTTATTCCCTCAATCTGCGATCCTATTCTGGAGTTTATTATAAATATAGATATTTGTAATTGATACATTAAAAAATATTGCTTTAAAATGTGTGTATATCTGTTTATTGCTATAGAATAATCTTACACAAACCAGATTCTATGTTTAGACATACATGTAGCTTACAGTATTGCAAAAATAAAACATTCTGAATACTAGTTCATAAATTATTATAATAAAATAATGTTACATTGACCAGAATTTTATACTGTATTTAGACATAAATTTAGCTTACAGTATTGCAAAAATTGTAGATTTAATGTAAAATTAATAATTGTAATTAAAACGTAAAATTATGTAAAATAAAACAACATAGGCAAGGCAAGTTTATTTATATAGCACATTTCATACACAATGGCAATTCAAAGTGCTTTACATAGAAGAAATTAAAATAATCAAAAACATTTATTATTTATTTTGACCTGCTGAAGGTGATTCAATTTGTAAGTGTATCTGCCATGCAAATAAATCTGACAGTAAAGTGCCATTTATTTATTTATTTATTTATCAATATTGTGTAAAGTAAAAGTAAATATTCAGGTCTGATTCAGTTGTACCATGTGCACTAATATTGTGTGTGTGTGTGCAGATGGAAGGTGTGTGTCTCCATGTTCTCGGCCTCACACTCCTCTGAATGGCCACACACACGACTCCCCCGGCTGGAGCCGCCAGCTCCGCGTCAGAGATGGAGACCAGTTCTACCTGCTGGATCAAGAGGAGGTGAACACACACACACACACACACACACACACACAGTCACAGCTGTGAACACTAGAGGGAGCTGCAGGCCTTTGATGACACTTTGACTCTTACGGATCATCAGCATGAGTGTTGGAAAAGCTGCTTGCAAACTCTAGCGCGCCTACAAACCAATCATACAAATATATCATTTTATTTTGAAGCATTATATTTACATGTAATCATTTAGCAGACGCTTTTATCCAAAGTGATATACAAGAAATACAAGCAATAGAGGCAACAGTATTCAAGTGCTGTGATGAGTCCCAGTTAGTCCAGGGCTACGTCTACATTCATCGTTTAACCCTCTGGGCTTCTTCGTAAATGGGTTACACTTAGCTTCATCCCGGTCAAAAACGGACAAAGCCTTAAAATTTTACTTTACTTCTTCCCAGGATAACCATTCAAATATATTTTTGCTAAGTGTAGGTGAACCTGAAGAAGACATAGGACGGGTGGGGATAATCAAGCTGACAGGTGCTAGGGGGTTGTAAAGGACGAGTTTGGAGACTTCTGCCTCTAAAAGTGTGTTTGCCGTTAAGATGTGTGGGTCAGTTTGTGGTGTGGAGAATTGGCTGCTGATGGTGATCGCTTTATTTATTAAGAAAGTGGCAAAATCGTCAGCTGTTAGGGTTGATGGAGGAGGAGGAGGGTTCAGAAGAGAGAAGATTTTGAAATGCGTGCTAGAGTCAGGAGATTTTGTTGTGATTGTAGCAGAGAATGAGGAGAGCAGGGATTGATACGGACCAAGGTCAGCGAGATCTTTCGATTTACGCCACTTCCTCTCTCCAGCCCTGAGTTTAGAGCGATGTTTGAGGAGAACATCAGATAGCCAGGGGGTAGAGGGGCAAAGGTTGACTAAACAAGATGTTCGAGTGGAGAAACAGCATTGTTTGCACTGTTAGTATCCAGTGTTGAGAGCTGATCAGGGGGAGGAAGTGTGGATGAGACCCAAGAGGACAGGCGGGAGGGGAGAGAGAGCGTACGCCTAAAAGTGACCTGTGCTCTCTAGGCATTAAAATTAACTTATACTTATCATATATATATATACACACAGTGGTGTGAATAAGTTTTGGCCCCCATGCTAAAGTTGCCTAAAAAGAGGAATAAAAAATCATCTTTTGGATATTGATCTTAATGCCTTAATTAAAAAAATGAGGAAAACTCCAACCTTTAAGGACACACATTTTCTTTGTGAATGAATAATGTATTATAAATAAATAAATGTTTTTCCTTAAAATACAGGGTGCATAAGTCAGGGCACCCCGATGTTAAATTCCCATAGAGTCAGGCAGATTTTTATTTTTAAAAGCCAGTTATTTCATGGATCCAGGATAATATGCATCCTGATAATTAAAATATGCCCACATCATCACACACCTTCCACCACACCTAGAGATTGGCATGGTTTTACTTCAGTTAGCCTAATAGCTGGTTTGATTTGCATTGAAAGATGATCTTATGGAAAGTACCCCATGCCAATCTCTAGGTGTGGTGAATGGTGTGTGATGATGTGGGGATATTTTAAGGGAACTTTATCAGGATGCATATTATCCTGGATCCATGAAATAACTGGCTTTTAAACATAAAAATCTGCCTGACTCTATGGGAATTTAACATAGGGGGGCAATGACTTATGCACCCTGTATTTTAAGGAAAAACATTTATTTATTTATGATACATTATTCATTCACAAAGAAAATTGGTGTCCTTAAAGGTTGGAGTTTTCCTCATTTTTCTAATTAAGGCATTAAGATCAATATCCAAACGATGATTTTTTATTCCTCTTTTTAGGCAACTTTAGCATGGGGGCCAAAACGTATTCACACCATATATACAGTATAAATACCGTAGATGAGATGTTATATGATAAATGTGTTTTTTTGTTTGTTTTGTCAGGTTCATCCATTGCTGATGAATGATCACCGTCACGTCTCTCACCGACACAAACTGCTGCGCAGGACCGTCAGCGTACCTGCAGATAGCAGACCCCATCCTGAGACAGGTACACACACACACACACACACACATTCCGTTATGATATCTATATTAGCAAAATCACTGAAGGAACTGGTGTGAAGTCATTTTAAAAAAGCCAGGCCAAAGCGTAGTTCGTTTCAGGAGTATGAAGAGTTCGCTTGGGCTGGTAAACACCTCTGAACTCCCATTGGTCAGTGATGATGTAATAGGTGGGTGTGGCTCTGAGGCTCCGCCTTCTTCCAGGTAAAAACAGGAACACACTGGAGAGACGCTTTATTTAGTTATTTTTTCTGAAAGTGATTCCAGCGATGTCGTTCCTCTGTGCCGTTCCACTTTTAAGTGCGCTGTGAACTTCACTATTCTCTCAGAGTTAGAGCAATTATTAAAACTTTATAGTTATTGTTTCACATAATATTTTACAAGAATAGCATGCCTTTATGATTATAGTTATTGTTCTTGATGTGAACATTAAGATACTATCCATCACAAGATTCTGTGAATTTATTATTATTTTTTATTATTTATTTTATTCTATGACTGTTAAAGGATTCGTAAACTTCGCGCTTCAAGTCGTTCATATATTAAGGGGTGTATATATGACGAGTTCAGATGCAAAAGCCTCTAAATGCCATTTGAAATTTTTTTCTTTAATGATAATTTTTTATCAAACTTGTATATTTAAGTTCAGTAATTTCACTTAAATGGCAATGATAATTACCAATTAATTGTTATTTAAGTGAAATTACTGAACTTAAATATATAAGTTTGATAAAAATCATCATTAAAGAAGAAAATTCCAAATGGCATTTAGAGGCTTTTGCATCTGAACTCTTCATATATATATATATATATATATATATATAGATGCTTTCAGTGTGTATCCAAATGTACAGAAATATACAAGTTTTATGTGTGAATACAAGCCTGTTCGTCCAAAGCAGGAGCTCTTGGTGCCGCATTTACATATTCCTTAGTCGACTGTATTTATATTCATACTTAAACATATATATTTACAGAAAACTCTCTCACACACACACACAGACACACACACATCTGATTATGAATGCTGCCTTTGATGAACACTGATACATGTGATTGTATTTCAGGAGCTAAATCACACACACACACACACACACACACTTTTCTGCTGGTAACCATGACAATAATTACAGATCGCTGTAACTGTGTGTTAACCGATGGCTCGGGGGAGCGAAAGCACTTTGGCCGACCATCTTTCACTCTCTCTCTCTTTATTTTTCCTTTTGCTTTATTCTGGCTTTTATTTAATATGGAGGACGGCCATCCACAGATTGAAGGCTTGTGTTGTCATGGAAACTGTAAGTCGTTGTGCCACTAGCCAGCTCCCCCACGGTGAGCCGGTTGGTTCATTCCGGACTGAACCATCGTGAGCGCGGGGCTCTGAGTGGGTGTGTGTGACCCGCGTTCAGCTCGTTTATAGCGCGGCGGGTGTGTGTTATTCACAATATTGGTGGCCCTTTCATGGTTTTAAAAAAAAAAAACACATAAATAAAAATTATTCTTATTTGAAGCATTCTAAGCATTTCCAGGATGCGTCTGACAGCATGGATCATGTTAGGTGAAACGATTTCATGGTGACTTTAAATGTGTGTTAGTCACTGAATGTAGAAGAACAGCCGTTTAAGTGAATCTAGTGTAGTTAATTGCCCCAGTAATATCACTAATATATCTTCTGACACACTTTTCTCAATTTAAAGATTAACCGATCTCGTCCAGCGCGGACGAACCCGGGTCTCTGTATGACGAGCGCGTTCAGTTAATACGGACTAAGAACATGTTGGTGAAGTTTCTCATTTTAATATTAGTTAATGTGCGGGAATCTGTATGAAGAGCTTCTGACGGACGGTTAACGCGCTCGAAGTTTCTAATGTTCATGTTACTGAATCAAGGTTGTGTGTAATGACGTTCAGATTTTTACAGTGCGCAATGTGTGTGTGTGTGTGTGTGTGTGTGTGTGTGTGTGTGTGTGTGTGCACGCGCATGTGTAGGGGTAGTAGCAGATCTCCGCTTCAGTCTGTCAGACACGCTCTGTAGGGCTGCATGATTTCTTTTGCCAGTGTGAGATGAAGATGAAGATGATGAGGATGATGCGCGCGCGGTCCGCCCACGCAGGATCATTCCTGACTCGCGCGCTGTGCGTCTAAACCCGTCGCGCTGAATATATCACATTTATTTTCGATGAAGAAGATGGTGCGGGAGTAGCGGGATGAAGAGCATCAATACCATCGGCGACATGGTTACGAACCCGCCGCGGAGCGAACGATGAGAAACGCGTTACCCTGGAAACGGCGGAGACTCGAGCGAGCGCAGGCCGAGGAGAGAGCACCGAAAGCCGGACTGAAGACGCAGGAACACCCGCCGAATGACGCGGAGCTCCAATTGCGCGAATTATGCATGATGGCATATTCATGATGTGCATATTCATGTGGGAACGAAATGCCTTTTCAATAAGCCAGTGATGAAGATGATGATGGTGATGGTGATGATGATGAAGAGCACTGCACATGTCCACAGAAGCTGCAAACTTCCCTGCATCACTGGCTCCTGTGAGGAGGACTCTTCATGTCTGACAGAATTAGACAGTGATTGTCCTGCGAGACTGAACTGATCTGAGGACAGTGAGAATGACAGATGAGGGAGGGATAGTTTGACTGATTTTCAATGCAAGTTGCTGGACTGGAGAGACAGACAGACTGAGGAGAGACAGACAGAAGCGCTGAGGCCTGACGCCTCCTGTCTCTCTTCTTCGGTAAGTCACTGCAGGGACCTTTAAACGCGGAAACTTAGTCTAATTTGTCCTTGAACATGAAGTATATCAAAGCAAATGATGTTTTCCGTTTTATTTGTTTTGACATTTTCCGCATTGGGCTTAAATATGGAAGAATGTGTTTTCTTGCGCATATATTTAAAGTGCTATTTTAAATATTGTAATGTTGGTTTGGCGTCTACTACAATAGTTTTACATCATTCAAGGTCAAAAACACGAATTTCCTCATAATCTCCACTGCAGCTTCAGCTCTTTCTCTCCGTGTCTGAAACGCTTCGTTTGAAGATTCAGTCTCTCTAAGCTCCGCCTCTCTCAGAGCTGCTCTGCTCCTGATTGGTCAGACACCAAACGCTCATTATCTGAATCTCAGCGTGGGTTTTACCGTATCAGTCTCAGAAAACAGCGAACAACACGAACCGAACTCTTCCAGTCTCAGATACACTAGTGTTTGAGGGCGGGGCTAAGAGATGCTGCTCAGCCAATCAGAACCAGAGGTGGGCATTATGCAAATGAGGTACAAACCTACACAGGATCAGTAGGAGGATAGACTGAATTACGACTCGTTTAGTTCACAAAAAGCTCTACACGCCACATGAAATATTCAAAACAGCATATTAGGGGCACTTTACGTAAATAGGTATTGTGAGTGACGTTTGCACTGCAGAAACTCATTGGCATGATTGTGATTGGTTGCCAGGTCGCTGCTCTGCGGTTGCTAGGGCGTTCGGGTCAGTCTGGGCGGGTGAAAGTGTTGCATCACCTGGAAAACTGAAGCAAACTCTGGCATGAAAAACACGTGATCTGAGCAATCACTCAAGCTGCTGTTCACTCGTTCTTCGTAAGCGTCGGCCTCCTGTGAGGGATTGTGGGATTGACTGTTGAGAACATCAGAAAGTTGAACTTCATGCAAACAAGATGAGAAAGAAAACAGTGGCTTTAAAAGGGGAGCCTGAGTTTCTGGAGGATTTAGTGTCTAAATCGCATCATTTTTTATTGCTATATTAAATTCAGATTAGGGTTTATCTTTGATCTCAGGCCGGAGTGATATAGAGTGACTGCAGCTGCTGCGTGTGTGATATCTGAGCTGTATAGTGTGTGTTTAGTACATCAGTGAACGCATCATTTGATCAGATCAGTGATATCAGAGTTCATTTCACTCAGTCTTTGCCTTTTTATGCCATGTTTCTATTATGAATTTAGTGCAGAATATAGCTATAATGCATTAAATGTAATTCTTATTGTGCACAAAATATAATTCATATTTATATATATATATAAATTATGCAAATAATTAAATTTAGTGCAAAGTATTTGATGCATTAAGTTGAATTCTTATAATGCAAAATTATTAAACAAAGAATTAAATTCACTGCAAAGTACATCTATCTTGTGTTTAATTTAATTCTTATAGTGCAAAAAATAAAAATACAATATATAATGCAAATAATTAAATTCACTGCACAGTGTATATAATGCAATAAATCAAACTCTTATAATGCAAAAATGTAATGCAAACAATGAAATTCACTGCAAAGTATATAATGCATTAAATTAAATTGTAGTAGTGTAAAAAATATATAATATACTGTACAATGCAAAGAATTAAAAGTACGGCAAAATGTATAGTGCATTAAACTAAATTCCTATTGTGTGCAAAAATATAAAATATACTGTATAATGCAAATAATTAAATTTACTGCAAAGTATATAAAGTAATGCATTAAACTGAATTCCTACAGTGTAAAAATAGAAGTATATATCATGCAAAAAAGTGCTGCATGCTGTGATAGTTTATAAAGGGCTTCTTCGGGTGTTTCAAACCAGCGTCTGGTCCTTTCCCAGCCGGCGGAGTCACTGGCACACATGTACAGTAAATGATACAGGTAATGAAACCGTTTTAACCCAGAATGTCTATATTTAGGTTCAGGTTGATTCTGCAGAGAAGGATGTGATGTGATGTGATCTCCACAGATGTCTGATATATTATTCATATATGATCTTTACTGGCTGTCAGCTAAAAGGGTTCACCAGAAATACACATTCTGTTTTCATATTTCAAACAGCAGCGTAACAACAGTCATATACTTCTGATGCTTTGTGGGAAATTAAGTAACCACTTATAATTTGCCATGGTCGTGGGTTTGATATCCAGGGAATGCATGATAATACATTATACACCATATATATAGACTGAAAGCAATGCAAGTCACTTTAGATAA